GTCTCGAGCCGAGAAAACAAGAGAAGTTGACAACAAACTAATTGACTGAGATGATAACAAATAGCGACAAGAAAATGGCGGATCACTTGAGATCGTCTATCAACAGACAACGTGGTAAGATACAATACAAAACAAACTGGGGTCTGTATATCAAATATACCTTGTGTAAAGTCAATAAATTAGAAAAAGACAGAGAGCGAAAGAGAACTGGGGTTTAACGTTCACTCGACACAAATTATGTCATTTCGGGACTAAAATATAATTCAATTTTATTTCAATAATTCGCTTGCACGTAGGGATCTTTTAACAGTGGGAGGAAACCGGAGGACCCGGAGAAACACGAGTTTTGACAGGCGATCCTACTCCTTATCACGTACAACCGGGGAAATCGAAACCACGCCAGTTGACTCAGTGAAAGACCTTATGATACAACGCACACGCGCTAACCATTCGGCCATCTAACCTGCCAAATAGCAAAAGTCAGTTAATCAAATAGTGTTTCTGAAGTCGCCACCACCCAAAATACAACATGGAGCAAAACAAATACTCTCCTACTGGCGGAATAAGAAGGAATTTGGGCTAGACCACAACAGTGAAATGAAATGGGGTTTAACGTCCAACTTTTAAACTGACAATGTCGCAAATTTTCCTCCATAAATACTTTCCCACAGTTGGGATATGTCCACCCATCGCATAATCTTAATGCACGTGTAATTAATAACGGTAAGTGGGATATAAAAGAAAGGAGAAAGGTAAAACAAAATGATCTAGCAGAACACTTGCACGTACCTAATGCACGTGTAATCAATAAGGCATAAGGCTCCGGTAAGATTATTGTATTTCTGAAATCGCTCCCACAAAACGTCCTACAGGAGACAAATATTACCAGAGTATGGTTGCGGATCATGCTTGAGCGAAAAGAAACCGCAAAGATATTGTAAAAGGAATGCGCCCTCAGTTCGACTTCTGATACACGGGCATGGTAACATTCCATCTTGACAATAAAATAACGCACGTAGATCGAGTTCAGTGCCTTTATGATTCCCACCATTTTCCAAAGAGCAATTTCTCATGCGAAGGTGTTATGTGTCTCATATAAATAATTTCATCAATTTTTATGTATTCCCTACAATTATACAGAACGCTGTAAGGGAAGAGACAGTCTGATTATTGCATAGTATCATACACTGTTGGGATCAGAGAGAGAGAGAGGGGGTGTGTTAACGTATACTCAACACAAACTAGGTTATTTTGGGACTAATATGGTTCAATTTTATTACAATAATTCGCTTGCGCGTAGGGGTCTTCAGCAGTGGGAGGAAACAGGAGGACCTGGAGAAAACCCACGAGATATGGGCCACCCTACGCCTTGTCACGTACAACCGGGGAATCAAAACCATACCAGTTGATGATCAAAGAGGTTCGATAATGTTAATTAATCCATTCTGTATCAAACCCCTGACCTATATTCATCTATGATGTGGTCGGATCGGACTAGCTCGCTGTGGTCAAAGGCAAACAAAATGTCGGTATGTAATTTCAACCCTTTTTGGAATGGTACAAGGCAAAGAAGATAAGCCATGTCCCGCCACAAAGCAACGAAACTGTTACATTTATAAAGTTTCTATTCATGTTTCAAATCGGCTAAACACCGATGAAGTCATCTGTATTACAGAATAGGCTCTCTTGAACATTGTTGCAATACCATTACGTCATCAGCAGAACCTAGCGTGTAACAATGGCAGCACTGTTATTCCGAGAGCGGTCCGTATTGTCACCAAAACCAACTAGAAGTTGACTTGCCGGACATTTTTGAAACGCTATCTGAAATAGTTTACGGGGAGATGTGTTGACACGGCGCTTATTTCTCACAATGATACAAATTAAGACATAATTACCGAGACACTGCTCACACTTTGAACAACCCGAAGCATGTTGAAGTGAAACATTTTGGTCAAGGGTATCAAATTATTCGAATTCTTTCGTGTGTCGACCCCAATACAGGTGTCTTCATATTTTGCATTCAAAATTTCTGTCATGCCCCACGAGCTTGTCGCTGCCCACTCCGTTTCGTTGTCCGCGACATGTTTGCACGTTAAGTTTAAAGAAACTCGTTTAGGGACTAATTCGTGGACAAACAATCGAGAATCTTTAGATTTTTAAGTTATCACCCGTTTGAAAACTTCGGTCACACTGTCATGTTTACTTTCTTGGTGAAGTGTTAAACCTCTTTAAAGAATAAAAACAAACCCTGATAAACCTAGCAATAACTTTTATAGTCTTGGTTTTCACGTACCCTTTTGTGGTTGATCCATTGTTATAGATTACGCCAATTGGTTTTAGCCCAATAAAAGTGTTTTTTTTTCTATTCAAATCACAGCACTGGATACGTGTTGCTGGACATTAATTTATCCATCGCCATAGACTCTCGAATTACTCTTAACCCAAAAATTCTAAATTTAATAGTGTTTTTTTTTCTTCTTTTTAAATCACATTTGGAGATACCTCCTTGATGATATTAATTTTGTATAGGGGTGTTTTCATGTATTTGTAGTTTAAATATTATTCGGACCTATTAGAAATTGGTTTTAATTGAAAATAAATAATAAAGCCAGATTTCCTGTCCAAATCTCTGGTATGGTTAAAGGACAATATTGGTGTCAGTCATTATAAAATATGTGATAGAGCTCGTTAAATACATCCCAAATATAATTTTAACACAGAGATCATTGCTACGGGAGTTGTGTAACAAGCACATGAAGAAACGGGAAGTGACGTCAAACATGACAAACATGAGTTGTCCTTCTATATAACTGACTGAAGTAACGAGCGGTAACAGACAAACGATCGAATTTCATTTCACTGATAAGGCGAGGACCCGATGCGTCAGTAGATGAATTAGTCAAGAGACAACGAGATGAGGGTCCGATGCGTCAGTAGAGGAATCCGCCAACAGACAGTGAGGTAAGTGCTAGATACGTCAGAAGAGGAATCAGCCAACAGACAGCGAGACGAGGGCCAGATGCGTCAGTAGAGGAATCAGACGACCAGGCAGTGTGACGAGGGTCAGATGTGTCAATAGAGGAATCGGACACCCAAACAGCGAGGCGAGGGCGAGGGGAGAGTCCGATGCGTCAGCAGAGGAATCAGACAAACGGCAGCGAGATGAGAGCCCGATGCGGCAGTGGAGGAATCAGTCAACTGATCCAAAGGAACAGCGAGGAGAGGGCCAACAGACCCTAAAAGACGGGGTGAGGGCCAAACAGCCTATCTAGTCAGGCAGCCCGGCGAGCTGATGATAGGTCAGTCGAGGGATTAGGCAAGATACCGCAAGTTTATGATACATCACTACAAAACTCAGACAACAGATCCTATCACACAACATCACAGATGTCAGTAGCGAGGTCAGACATAACCTATCAATTGGTACAGATATAATCCCTTGGGACACATGCCCTGCTGTCAGCAGGTCCCAATCAACACAACCTTGCAGTCAACAAGGAATCATTCTTAACAGTCAGCAGGCCCCAGTGATCTACCTGATCAGGCAATGAATATACAGTATTCGCACATTCAGTAGGGAAACGATCCTAACATTTAGCATTCAGTTGGGACCAGATTTTAGCAGCTAGAAAGAAACCAGACCCCTCGTTAGAAACAGGGTACTAGCATCTAACAGTCATCGGGGAACAAATCCAAACAGTCAGTAGGCGACATATCTTAACAGTCAGCAAGTGATATATCCTAACAGTCAGCAGGCGACATATCCTAACAGTCAGCAGGTGACATATCCTAACAGTTAGCAGGCGACATATCCCAACAGTCAGTAGGCGACATATCTTAACAGTCAGCAGGCGACATATCCTAACAGTCAGCAAGTGATATATCCTAACAGTCAGTAGGCGACATATCCTAACAGTCAGCAGGCGACATATCCTAACAGTCAGCAGGCGACATATCCTAACAGTCAGCAGGCGACATATCCTAACAGTCAGCAGGCGACATATCCTAACAGTCAGCAGGCGACATATCTTAACAGTCAATAAGCGACATATCTTAACAGTCAGCAGGCGACATATCCTAACAGTCAGCAGGCGACATATCCTAACAGTCAGCAAGTGATATATCCTAACAGTCAGTAGGAGATATATCCTAACAGTCAGTAGGACATATCCAAACAGTCAGTAGGAGATATATCCTAACAGTCAGTAGGAGATATATCCTAACAGTCAGCAGGCGACATATCCTAACAGTCAGTAGGGAAGATCCTAACAGTCAGTAGGAGATATATATATCCTAACAGTTTCTAGGAGACAGATCCTAGCAGCCAGCAGAGGACAGACCCTAACAGTCAGCAGAAGAAGTATATAAGTCAGCAGGAGACATATCCTAACGTCAGTAGGGAAGAGATTCTAACAGTCAACGGAAGACAGATCCTAACAGAATGAATGAATAAAATGGAGTTTAATGTCCTACTGTTCTGTTCCGACTAGGCTAATGAGGACGAAGATTCGAACATTCTGTAGGAAAGAGATATTTTAAACAGTCAACAGGGAACATACAAACATATCAACAGTAGACAGATCCCAACAAATCTAACTGCATGGTAATGGCCGACAAATTGAATTTTTTTGATGGCAATCGGTTTATATTACAAAACCTCATAAGAAAATAGAAAATCAACTGTCAATAAATTTTTTTATGCTTTGATGACCAAGACTACCACTGGACACCTAAAGAATGCATAATTATATTAGCCACTTGTTAATCTTGGTCATTCTAGTCTTAACCCCGAAGGAAACTAAATAAACACAGTTGACCATCGCCTTGTTTTTGAAGTCACCAGATGGTCAAGTGGACATGTTGGTTCGAGATTCCAACCTGTACAGCTAAAGGGTGTTTTCTGTTTATTTGTCATGTTCGACATGATACAATGAAGTAAACCACAATAACTGAAGTCAACCACTTCAAAGAAATGTCACCATTTTATTGTTTTGCTGGATATGGAAGTCAGAATGTGAAAAAACAAACTAAAAAGAAAACATGTTTGCTCCTATTTCTCAACTCGGTCTGAAAAAGAACGATTTGTAATTGTTCTAGTACTTGGACAGTTCCTTTCAAAAATCACATCTGAATGTGAACATATCAAAGACAGAATTGATTAATGTTTCCCTTAAATAGGAGAGAGAGAGAGAGAGAGAGAGAGAGAGAGATGGGGTTTAACTCCACTCCACACAAACTAGGTCATTTCGGGACTAACACATGGTTTAATTTAATTTCAATAATCACTTGCGCGTAGAGGTCTTTAGCAGTGGGAGGAAACCGGAGAAAACCTACGAGGTTAAACAGGCAACACTAATCCCTCACTTCAACCAGGATGCATGTTATATAACAACTTTTCCAGATCCTAGTGTAGTAAAGACAAGTAAAACAGAAATTTGAACTATAAAAACAAAAAGAAATAGGATCTGTGTTTTAATCAATCCATTTTAATGGAGGTTTTGGTCATCTAGAATTTACAATTCAGTATTTTCAATTGATTTCTTTATTGATGTGTAATCAATCATGTTAGGTTAATAACAGATTTCTATCCATACTTTTAGTTTATTGATTCATTTCAAATTTATATCAGTTATCACAATTCTCAGATTTATACCAGCTATATTACTGTGTTATCTCTCTAAACAAGTAGGGGGATCACAAGCTAAGTAGGTAAGACGCTGGCTTGCTAGCTAGACTGGAGGTCGGGTGTTCGATCCCTGCATTGGCCGAGGAAGTTCATTCAGTGGTTCTCAGTCTTATTTTGCCAACGGCACACCTTGGAACACATGAAAAAATAGCGGCACACCTGGCTAAATAATATATGAAAAATATTTTGAATTTTTTAAAATAAAATCATGGTAAGTCAAACAGCATACAACCGTAGACAGAGACTAGTTATAGACACATAAAATGACTCAAACTATATAAAGACAAACACAGCTATGAACTTATCAGTAGACACCAGTGAATACTCATTTGGGATCACATGGTTTTTTACATTTTCTTAGTGTGCCGTTCAAAATTTTGCAGCACACTTCGGAAGATCTTGCCGCACACTGGTTGAGAATCACTGCTCTAAATTGTCGTAAAATTACTGCTAAAATAACTAGGACAATTTCTGTTTCTTGGCATCTGGTTCTGTAAAATAAACAAACACAAGATGGTGAACATTAAAATGTAAATATCAAGACATTTTGATAAAATATACACTAAGAGTCAATCTGAATTTTGACATATTGAATTTTATTCATTATTTATCATATTGGATTTGAATAAAGAGAGAGAGAGAGAGAGAGAGAGAAATGGGGTTTAACATCCACTCGACACAAACTAGGTCATTTCAGGACTAACATATGGTTTACTTTTATTTCAATAATTTGCTTGCGCGTACGGCTCTTTAGCAGTGGGAGGAAACCGGAGGAACTGGAGGACCCGGAGGAAACCCACGAGGTTGGACAGGCCGCCCTAGCCTGCGAGATTTACTGGATTTAAATCTGATCTGCTGCTGAACCCTCATTGATGATTATGTCACAAAATGGATAATCGAGACTATGTTTTTTTAACATACTGACTTTAGTAATGATCAAGGCTAAACCTAAAATTCAATCGCTAATTGGATCAATTTGACATCAATTTTCAGCAAATTGAGAGATGGGGTTTAATGTCCACTGACACAAACTAGGTCATTTCCGGACTAACATATGGTTTAATTTTATTTCAATAATTAGCTTGCGCGTAGGAGTCTTTAGCAGTGGGAGAAAACCGGGGGACCCGGAGAAAACCCACGAGGTTGGACAGACGACCCTACTCCTTGTCAACAATTAGAAGACAAAATAGACATTCAGACTTTTTTTTAAAAATAGGCTGTGTTAAAACTAAACAAAAGAATGTACCTGAAGTTGCTGCTATAATTAAATCAGGAAACAATTTAAAACTCAGACACATCATTTCCTTATTTGGTGCTACATTCCGAACATATCGAATCACATGATCTTTAGGAAGGGCCATTCCCAAGATGCTTTCTGCTCGTTCCTGAACATCTTTTTCAGGTTCGCCACTTTTTGTGAAACAGTAACAGTGCACGAAGGGTAACCTTCTTTCGATCGTTTCAATAGAAAACCCGGAAATGTCTGACATACTCAATAACGATTTATAGGCATCTAGAAATTCTAAGGCTAATGCAGGAAGGTTCATAGCAACGTGTAAATCATTCTTGACGTCCTCCGTCAGTCTTTTAATTAAATCGTCTTTCAGAACTGTGGTAATAAATTCACGACCATCCATATTAAAGGTTTTAACCTCCGCCGAAATCTTATTCAGTTTTATATTTTTCACGAGTGATTTGAAAGACTCTGGATTAAGATCGTTAGCAATTATTTCTATGCCTTTTTTGGCAGCGAGGATTGAAAACGGACCAACACCAGCGAAGACATCGTACAGAACGTCTCCTTTATTTATCATATCCACCAGACGTTTGTGTTCTGATCCTAGAAAAACAAATATTATTTAGTACAATAAATTTAATTATAATATATTCTAATATCATTAATTACAATAATTTCAATCTGAATATAACATCGATTTCTATCTCTTTGTCATATTTTTCAAGAGAGAGAGAGAGAGAGAGATGGGGTTTAACCTACACTCAACAAAAACTAGGTCATTTTGGGACTAACATGGTTCAATGTTATGTCATTAATTTCCTTAGGCATAGGGGTCTTTAGCAGTGGAAGGAAACCGGAGGACCCAGAGAAAATCTACGAGGTTGGACAGGCGACCCTACTCATTGTCACGTACAAGCGGGGAATCGAAAACATTCCACTTGACACAATGACAGATCGTATGATGCAACGCACACACGTTAACCATTCAGTCACTCATACCAACCCCCCCCCCCCCCCCTAGCAATTTAAGAAGTGGAGTTTTCAAACAATGTATTTGAGAAATATGAAGGTATAGGTATAAGAGTCAATAAGTTTATAGATAACTATAATATACGTTGTTTTAACTCCATGTAAAGGCAGTATATATCCACTTTAAGCTTTACGTAATGTATGATTTGTTTCAATGGTTTTATTATCACACTTTCAAACGATCAGTTGACATTATAATTGTGGGTTAATTTTTTTATGAAAAAGATGTTTCTCTTGCAAACGACCATAATATTCAATTTTAAAATTCATAAGGAGTTTAGTGTAACCGGACTGAACTGACAATGAAATGAAATGAGGTTTAACGTCCTACTGTTTTGCTCCGAACTGGGCTAATGAAGACGGACATATGCCAAACAGTGTGCTACGAGGGAAACTTTGCCCAAACAGCGGCACTATGGCCTACTTTTATATCGAATTCCAACTGTCAAGGGATCTTTTACGTGCACGCCAATGTGTACAGGAGACCTCGGTTTTTCGTCTCATTCGAATGACTAGACAGGCCCCCCGTCCTGCATCACTGACAAAGGGGAACCACGCCAGAAAATCTGGATGAACTTTCTCCAGACTTAGCCACCGTGACCCCCCTGAACAGACAAGAAAAGAAATCATGTTTTAAACTGTAATCTGGGTATCATTTAATCTTGTGTATCTTAGCACTAATTTCTTTCACATTCGTTTAATAACAAATCTTTGTTTAAAAATTTGTAAAAATCATTTAAAATCATCCCAAATCATTTAATTTGTACTTGTGTCCAGTTTAAAGCTGATGGATTAATTTTGATAATGAGTGTTCAATTTACAAGTATTTAATTTCCTGACCACTGTCCAAACATTAATCATTATACATCAATAGTCAATTGGGTTCTTTATTATTTAACAGTGATCAAGAAATTAAACGCTTGTAAATTGGACACTTATTATCAAAATTGAATGGTCCACTTTAAACTGAACACAACATTGTTTTAAAGGCCCTTAAAGACCCCTACATGCAAAAGAATTATTGTAATAAAAAATTGAACCATGTGTTAGTCCCGAAATGACTCTCTCTCTCTCTTTTTAAAAATCAAACAACTATGAAATATAGTAACAGATTGCTCAATGTTCGGTGATCTTTATGTGAGGTTGAAACAGATGAATGTTGATATCCCTATTTTATTACGACTAATATTTATAGAGTGTTTATCGCAAAAACTGATTTAATAAGAACAGACGCGGAGGTAAGACCATCAATCGCCTTGTACCCTTTTTGTTACATTTGTTAGCAAAGATTACCAGACACTGTACAAATGCTTGTCAATTCCCCGCACACACATTTCGTTTTACATGAACAAAAGCGAGGCTCGATAGAATAGGTATCTGTTAATTTTCTTATGTAAACACATCATTGTGGTCTCATTTTGTCAGGTATTGTCCGTGTAACTAAATATTTCCCCTAGGTTCTCTTTTCCTCGGCACACACAGCCCCCACAGATGTTGCTGCCTAGATACGACCTCTGTCAAGGTCAAAGGTCAGGTCATCTACAAACAATAGTGTAACAAGTTTTGTATGTACAGGGGCGATCAATCTGTTTGTATCCACATCAGAAATTGCAGGGTAGCACATACTAATACCTGTAAACTGAAACCCACCATGTTTGGAAATTGAAATTGTCCACGTAGCCTAACTTTCCCTTTCGCTTTGTGGCGTTCGTTTGTCAGCACAGCTGTTGGAGGTAAACAGTTGCCATTAATGGGTAGGTGTATTGAAATAAACACTATTTAGCAACAAAATCTAATTAAAAAAAAACGGCTGGGAATTGTTAGCGAGGTTGTCGAGATAAATCACCCATTCACACAAACACGAAAGACATCACAATAGTAGAAATTACCCGACATACACATTTTCGTACAGCTTTTCTTACATGAAAGAATTTCTACCACACCCAAACGATCTGAGCGACATAAAGATCTCTAACTAAAACACACCTTGTGAAGGTGTTAATCATATTTTTATCTTATTTAAAGATCAAACACAGGTCCCTTCTTCGAGATAAGCTAAGATTATGGAATAAATTCAATTTTCTAGAGGGAATTCTAAACCAGTATCTATTTCTATTGAGGTTTATTTCGTTATAATTGTATTAGTTGTTAAGACATTAAATCAGTTGACAATGAAACAGAATCTTTCATTACAAACACGGACACCTGCATATAAGCAATGGCTACAAGTGTGAGAAAACTGTGTTCAAAACTAATGACAATGTTTGACAAACATGCTGCAACTTCAGAGGCGTGTTTCTGATGATAAAAAAATTAAAAAACAATTTAGAAATAGAGATGTATTTGACATCCAACAGTAATTATCTTACTATCCTCAGTTTTGAAATTTGAAACTGACGTTTAAAGATACATTATGGGAGATTAGATAAAGAGTTCCCAGTTTAATAGTTCAAAACTAGATAATGTAAAGGGAATTGCCTGAAAATTTCAGTCAAATTGATCCACCCTGAACCGAGAATTTGGCGATTGAATTTTCGGCATAGCCTTTTTGTTGACTATTACGGCTTTTAATGCAGGTATCCGAGTTGATTTTATTCTGTTTTAGGAGCGGTTCTATTTTATCCTTTATTACTTTTAGCCATTTTATATGTCATATTTTATTATAAATTTTACTACCATATTTTGAAGATTATCGTATGCCATTTTAATTTCTTTTATCATCCATTTAATAATGTGCAATTTTATTTTATTTTTCTATGTGTGATGTCCACAAAATGTTAACTGCGCTATTGAACAGTATTTTATATTGGTAATAGGCACATTATAAATAAATTATTATTATTATTTATTATTATAAGTCATTTTCCTCAGTGATCCTTTGACAAAATAAAAACATCTCGTCTGCGTCCAATTTTTAAAGATAGGTTGCCAGGCAATGAAACATACACCCATAGCAGCTAAGTCGTCCGAGCAGTCAACAAGAATTGTCGCATATTTTTTCTGTTGTGGTTAATGAAACATTTATAATACACTAAAATCTGATTAAGAGTAACAACTCATTAAGTAATTATCAGAACATCATAAGAATTTGTTTGGCTTTTAGTTCTGCCCCATGCTAACATTTAATATACGAAACATTTAATATCATGGATTTACATACTTCTTCGTCTCAAGACCCTTAAACTCTGTTTATCAATCTAAAGTCAATCGGATGATAACCTTGACAATCACTGGGCTTCCGCCTCTCACGACCTTTAATGCTGTGTATAAATCTGAAGTCAATCGGATATTAAATTTAGCCTCTAGAGCGTCAACAAGATATTTCAAAGTGATCAAGGGCCATAACTCTGGCAGTAATTATCAGATATCGTTGAAAATCAATAGGCTTCATCTCATGACCTTAAACACTGTGTTTAAATTTAAAGTCAATCGGATATTAACTTTAGTCTTCAGAGCGTCCACACGATTTTTCAAAGTGATCACGGGCCATAACTCTGGAAGTAATTATCGGAAATCGCTGAATATCAATAGGCTTCTTCATTTCACTAATGTAAACAACACATATATCAATTTCAAAACAATCAGATGATAAATGTAGTCTGTAGAGTATTCGCAAGAAATTGTGGACAACAGATGGACGGGGGGCGACGGCAATATGCGACCACATTTCCAATGTGGGCGTATAAAAATGATTGTCCGAGAACTAGAGTATCTTTTTTGTATGGCCTTATTATACCACTAATTCTAATGATATAAATCATTTTCAAGCTATAATAATAATCAATTTGTATAGAGCTCAGTGTTTCAGCTAATAAGCTGCTCCAGGGTACTCTTTACAATTAAAATGTAGATGACGTAAAGACCAGTTTTAAAGATACATTCCCGCGTACAAACTGGGTGATTTAATGGTATATATGGACTAAAAACATATTCAAACTAATTAATTTGTCATAATGTTGCTTCAAAACCTTCTCAAACATTGTAATTGCGAAGAAATGCCCTGCTATAAAAATTCGATCAAGCCAGGCCGTGTTTACGTCACATGACTTACCTCTCTTGGAAGTCAGGAGAATTCATTGCATACATAAGACGATGTTGACTTTAATCGCTTACTATTTATTACGAATATCGAATCCTAATTCAATTCTCGGATTATCCACTACCCGCGTCTTTTTCCATCATTTTTATCCCAGAAAGTGTTGTACGTCTAACTCTTCATAAAGTTTATCAACTTGTACATCAAGCGCTCAATGTTCGTGTGTGACCTTTGACATCACGTGTGCAGAAATTCCTAATTGTCGGGCTGTCGATTAGGGGAACCCTTACATTTTTGTCCTGTATGCGTTCCATGAGTGTTTTTCAGGGAATCCAGTATTTTTCTAGTAAGATTGGATATCTCTACTTTCCATATATACCAAAATTGCCATACTTTTATTAGAAATAACCACCCGATAAATACTTTTCTGGGAACCCATCTTTAAAACATTAATACAAAAATTTCATTTTGTTTTGATAGTTTCATTTGAAAATTATTTTATTAGCTGAGCCCGGACTGAATCCATCATAAGAGAATACATGTATACCTTTTTTAACGATTTAACCAATACATCAAATCAGTTATTAGTCAATAAATGAACTAAATTTCATCTCACCTAAACGAGAATTCCAATAAACTTTTGAAAAATCAAATTCAAAAGCACAACCATTTTCTCTTGCTGTAGTGATATAATCTTGTTCACCAGCTAGAAGTTCCATCTGAAAGTTTCTGAAAGTGTTGTCTATGACATTCAGTTTGTTGACCACTGTTCGTATTGATGGATTTTTCTCTAATAAAATTTCTCCTGCAATTAAAATTAATTATAAAGTCATTGAAGCCCTGATTCTTTTTTTTTTAATCATCTTAAAATCTGTCGTATTATGTGCTATAATGAGTTTTATACCATATATAATTGCAGTGTGTGAGGAGGGGGTAGCTAATTTTGAAGAATTAAAACACTTATATGGATGTACTACTTCTGAATTTTATTAACATGCTATGTTTCAATACTCATACAGGTATCATTATCAAGCAAATAAATTATATTTGAAACTTTACATTGAACAAACATAGATTAAAAAATATGTCATATGGTATAAGTTTCTTTTTCATGTTGAATTTGTATGATTGTGGCAAAATTTCCCCACAGGTAACTTTACCTACCTGCCAGTACAAGAGAGAGAGAAATGGGGTTTAACGTCCACTCAACAAAAACCAGATCATTTCAGAACTAACATATGGTTCAATTTTATTTCAATAATACGCTTTTGCGTAAGGGTCTTTAGAAGTGGGTGGAAACCGGAGAACCCAGAGAAAACCCACGACGTTGGACAGGTGACCCTATTCCTTGTCAGGCACAACCGGGGAATTGAAATAAATTAGTTCATAAATGTGGCACGGTACATTTTGTATTTAATACCATAATTACACAGTTTATGAACACTAGTAAAATTTTGTTTTGTAAAGCAGTTGGCCGAGACACTGAATGAATACACTTTAATAACTAGTGTAGCAAGAAATACTCAATAGCAGTGTTACTTTGATGAATTACAATAAACACATGTAAAGGGAGATAACTCTTCTTAAGCATGCACATAATTTTGAGACCTGAATTCACTGCTTTAAGAGATTCTGGGTTCAAATTTAACAAACAAGATAATTTCTACAATAATTTTACTGAACTACAGGCACTGCTTCACTATCAGATGTTTAACTTCATAGTCCGGAAGCACAGGTTCCCCACCCCACCCAACCCCTCCCTCTTATACGAAACACCGTGAGGAGTGAGGTTTAACTTAACAACAAGCTTACTAATCTTACAGGTTTAACTTAAAGATAAATTATGGAAGATTAGATAAAGAGCTGATAGTTCTCACTGTAATAGTTAAAAACTAGATAATGTAAAGGGAATATGCTGAAAATTACAGTTAAATTGCTCCACTCTGAACCAAGATATTAGCGATTGAAATTTAGACCTAGCCTAAATTACTAAATTTGGTACAACAAAAATAAAAACATGGTCTTGATTATCCACTTTTTGTATTTAATCATCAAAAAAACATAGTCTTGATTATCCATTTTTGTATTTAATCATCAATGAACGTTGAGCAGCAGTGAAAATCGAACACATAGCATCAAGAGTTGATTAAGAGATTTAGCTCTTGCATAATGTATGTTTAACAGAGATAGAAATGGGGCTTAATGTCCACTCGACTCAAACTAGGTCATTTCGGGACTAACACATGGTTTAATTTTTATTTCAATAATTCGTCTGCTTTTAGGGTTCTTTAGGATTTGGACGAAACCAGAGGATTCGGAGAAAAACCACAAGGTTGGACAGGCAATCCTACTCCTTGTCATGTACAAGCGGGGAATCAAAACCACAACACTTTACTCAATGACAGATATTATGATACAACACGCACGGCTACTCCCCCCACCCCTTTACTTAACAGCTTACTAATCTTGTAGCGAGGTCCCACTGTATAACTTACCTATTACGTGTTTATACTCTAGGACCTCATCTTTTAAATTTAGATGAGCAATATGTCCGACGATTGAAAAACCTGTCACACCATCTTCAATATGATCTGGTAAAACCGCTCTGGTTAATTCAGCCGCAGACCAATTGTCATAACCCAGTTCTGTATCAAACCATTCCATGTTCTTAAAATCTATTTCAAATTCTGTTAAAGCACGCTGCTCCTCATCGCTGAAGTCTTTGTACGATTTAATCTTCGCTGGATCGAAGAGAAATAATTTATGACTTTTATTCTGGGCGTCGTTCTCACCTAATTCTGCGATACATTTCAACCTTGGAATCTTTACCAAACTCTGCTTCATTTTTTTGTTTAATTTTCCCACATATCTAACTGGAATTTTCAACCCAGGAAATCTGCACTGTTTTTTAAACGCTGCTTTATCCAAAATTTTCATGCCCTTCGTGGAAAGTGGTGGATTTAAAATTTCGCTTGGATTTGACATCTTTTTGGATAGAATTTGAATCCAGCTAAGACCATTCGATAATGATTTGTCTCTAGACAATATTTTTTGACTTCTGACGGAGTTAAAAATTGTAGTGTTTTTTATTTTTATACTGAAGCTCTCCTGAACCTTCAAAAAACACCTTTCACCTCTGTCCACTCTAACCAGATGTTTATAAATGTGTTTCTTTGGTAGATACAACCTCACTTTAGCTAGTCTACTCAATTCTAAAAACCTTTTCATGTCACAAACGTTTGAAATTCTAAAAATATTCAGTAATCATCATGCAATAACACAATAACACTCGGCCATGCTTTATTTACATGGTACACTGTTCTCAACTTTAATAAAGGAGAGCTTTACTAAATGTAGTTACCTCCCTTACACCACAAAGATGAAAAACGAGTTAAAAGAAATAAAGACGACCATTTTCTAATAGTTTTATTTACAATTTATTCTGACAGAGAGACTAAGAACAGAAAAATGATGGAATTCTCTTAAAGCCATTCTGTTCCTTTAGTAGACAAAAAAGTCAAATATTTCAGAGAATGTTTTAAATGGTCATATCAATTCTTGGATCATTTAATTTTAGTTTTACAATAAACATGGATTGTAGTCCCTTTGAAAAAATTTGGTTCAAAAGCTCATAAAATCTAACAACTTTTTCTCAATCATCTTTAACTTTATTGAGTCTCTTTCATCTTTCATTAGCACATTGATTTTATCCAAATACAAACAAACAAAATTTTCTTCCAAGAAAGAATAAATAAACATCCCTTTTCAGTAATCTTTAATTTTAACATTGTCTGCAGCAAAGAGAATTTACACACATACAAACATCTAACTAGGAGCACCATAAGCATCTGGCATTCTCTCTATAGAATATCTGAAATAATAAAATTTATTCTTAAATTTTGCATTTTTTTTAATAATAGTTTGAGTATGTAGTTAAAAGGGTATTATGGAAGATTTGATAAAGAGCTGACAGTTCTCACTATAATAGTTAAAAAATAGATAACATAAATACAATATGCTGAAAATTTCAGTCAAATTGATCCCCTCTGAACCGAGATATTAGCTTTTGAATCTTAGGCTAGCCTCGATCATCATTACTAAAGTCGGTACGATAAAAAACAAAGTCTTGATTATCCATTTTTACGTTTAATTATTTTTAAAAAAAAAATGTATTCCAATTCGCTAATTATTAATGTATAATTAATAATTTAGATAACATTTCAGGCCTAAAAAAAGACCTGCAATAGGCAGATATCGCTCCTGCATAATGTATGTTTAAGCTCTGTAAACAGATTTTGATTGTATAAGTATTATAATTATAAAAAGATTTCATTCAGATTGTGACTGAGTATATAAGACATGAAATGGGGGTTTAAAGGTCCTACTTTTCTTCAATCACTGGGCTAAACAAGACTAGCATACAGTGCCTTATGAGGGAAATTTTGCTCGAACAGCGGCAATACAGCCTACTCTGATTTTGAATACCAACCGTCAAGGGTTCTTCTACGTTCATGCCAATGTGTACACAGGACATCGGTTTTTCATCCCATCCAAACGACTAGACACTATGGTCACTATCCTCACCAGGCCATTCCATCCTGCACCACTGACAGGGGAAATCACGCTGGTAAATTTTTTAATTCCAATTGTCAAGGGTTTTTTACATTCACGCCAACGTGTACACAGGACCTTGGCTTTTCGTGCCATCCAAACGACTACACTGTCCTTACCAGGCCTTCGATCCTGCACCACTGACAAGGGGGAAACCATTCTGGTAAATTTTGGGGGAATATTTTCGCGGCCAACCAAGGGATTGAACCCCAGACCTCCTGGTTAGCGAGCCAGCGTCTTACTCAGTGAGTCACTGCAGCTCTGTATATACAAGAAGGTATTTATAATAAACTTACTTGCGTCTTGTTGTATACATGATCGGTACACCAGGTATTTTACGTATTCTACGTTTTAAATCTTTATCATTAGTGGCTACTATATAACATTTATGCTGAAAAATATATTTAGCGTTATAATAATCCAATTCTATAACAGCTCTGTTATATGTGGAGAAGGTACTGTTGTCTTTACCATGGTATACAATGTTCAAGCTAAAATATCAAATTCTGTGGTAGCTTTGTTACGTGGAGAAGATACTGTTGTGTTTGCAATGGCATACAATATTCGAGCTAAAATATCAAATTCTGTGATATTCTGGTACTTAAATCAATATATAATATTCTAACATTATTTAAATGACGAATCTACATTTTAAAAACTATAACTGAGACATAAAATATTCAGAATCACGGTTTATTTATTTATTTAATCCCAGGGTTTTGGGTGGTCGAGTGGTTTAACGTGTGTGCATTGTATCATAAGGTCTGTCATTGAGTCAACTGGCGTGATTTCGAATCCCCGGTTGTACATGACAAGGGGTAGGGTTGCCTGTCCAACCTCATGGGTTTTCTCTGGGTCCTCTGGTTTCCTTTGACGATTTATTTATTTATTTAATGCCAATTAAATTATGTTTGTGTTTGTAAAGAAAATTCCTTTCTTTATGTAATTTTTGTTTACATTTTGTTTCTATATTTAGATGGAAGAAGCCCTTCCTGAACCCCCATCCCTACCGACTAGAGGAAGATTAAAGTGTGTTTTAAGCCCATTGATCAAAGCTGAAGATGATGACAGATATAAATGACTATTCCACAGCTATTGTAGATATTTTTATACAAGTTTATTACATAATAACAAACAGCTTTATGGATAACATTCTCTCGTTTTTTTTGGGTTTTTTAACTGCAACGTTTCAATGACGGTACTCTCACCGTTATCAAGTATTTGTTTCTAAATGGCTATACCATTGTTATTCACGGGTGGGAACTCGAGTCCGACTTAAGTCACATCAATGACCAAACTTGCAACACGACTATAAATATTTATTGCAACTTAAGACTCGGCAGTCGCGAGGGGGCATAACTCTTATTTACCATGTTTCACTGATTTATTCGATAAACTGGCGACTAAACGGGTCTCAGGCTTTGTGAAGACTTTGGACTCGACTCGGTACTAAAGTCAGCAGCTTGAGACTCAACTCGGACTCGAGGTGCAGAAACTTGGGACTAGAGGTGCAGTGACTTGGGACCCAACTCGGACTAGAGGTGCAGTGACTTGGGACTCAATTTGGACTTGAGGTGCAGCGACTTGGGACTCAATTTGGACTTGAGGTGCAGTGACTTGGGACTCAACTCTGACTTGAGGTCCCTTGACGTGTTCCCACCTTTGGTGTTATCGTACATATCATTAAAGAGGTATATTACTTACCTCTGTTATTCTCTGTACCAAACAATCATCAGCATATGTACCTTTATGTAAACATGTCAATCTCTTAAACCTTGGATCTTTTATAATTCTGTAATATAACATGTTTTTTTTAACTTCAAATAGTTTTACCTATATAATATATCAATCAGATAGACTTAATAAGTGCAGGAAGATGGCACTACACAAAACACATAATAAGACAAGATAAAGAGAGAGGAATGGTGTTTAACGTTCACTGGACATAAACTAGGTCATTTTGGGACTACAATATGGTTTAATTTTATTTCAATAATTCACTTGTGAGTAGGGGGTCTTTAGCAGAGGGAGGATACCGGAGGACATGAAGAAAACCCACAAGGTCGGACAGGTGTCCCTAATCCTTGTCACCTACAACTAGGGAATCAAAACCATGCCAGTTGACTCAATGACAGACCTTATGATACAGCAAGCTCATGCTAACCATTCGGCCATCCAATCCCCCCCCCTCATAATAAGACCAACCCGCGGACAAGACATACAGGCACTGCAAGCAACAAACAAGATAGGTATATATCAATTCAAGTGAATGTATCCGGGGGCTAGCCATAAGCGTCCACTGCGCTGTACAGTAACTGGCCTGTAATGATACAGGCATCACTCAAAATAAAAAACAAAACAAAACAATGATTTACAAGATGTAGTTGTCTCCTGAATGGCGTTTCTTGATGACGATAGTCTGACAGTTGATAAAATGAGTTATAATGTCAAAAAATTAACAATGACAAGGGCGATAATCGAGATAGAATTTGGGAAAATGCATAAAATGATTGACAGCTTCATGCTTCATTTAGTCAAGTGATCTACTGTTTTTCAAGACCATGGAATGATACCACCATTTTACCATCATATACAGGTCCTCTGTCAATCATACACAATCAACAACATAATTTCGACCTTATCAGAATGGTAAAACACACCACTTTGCAGTTCTTAATTCAGTATTCATGTACTATATGTAATGCAAATGAGAAATTCAAACAAAACAAAGTATTAATAATATTTAAAATACAGATGTGACGTTGACCTTTGATGTTGGCGTACCATTATTTCAAATAATCGTCCGGGCAACTTGCCAATCGTACATTATTTATACTAGTGAAATATTGAACTCGAGTGACTTATTTCACTGTAAAAGCATGTGCGGAGTGTCTGTATTTTAAGTCGTTAATGGTCTCGCGCTTAAGACATTGCGTACTATATTGTAAAAACACTTGGGCCTATGGCCCTCTTGTTGTTACAATATATTACTTAATGTCTTGCTCTCGACCATTCAACAATATATACAATGACTATAGACAGTCTATCAATGCTACTGCTTTTGTATATTATATATAGTTATAATTCAATCTGACAAATATAGAAGAAAATTTGTTTACCTTAAAGCCACTTTATATTTTCTACCGAGTTTTTCTAATTCAGCCATTACACAATCTGTTATATAGGGAATACCTGTTAAATAAATATATATATTAAATCAAATAAACCATTACAACAGAGTTATTGAACTGGAAATATTAAGGGTCATATTTGTATGGAATATAAATACTTCTTGTTAAGTACATGTATACTGAGCGATGTCTTTATAAAGGAATCTCCGCATGTTGGTGCTCAGAAAACAGAGGTCTCAAATGTGTACACACCGAAGTGCACGATAAAGAACCCTTAACATATAGGAAAAGTAGGCGGAAAATGTGGCTGTTCGGGCAAAATTCCACTCACATTGTGAATGCGACCACAGAAAAATGAACAGTATTTTAATGACAAAATGATGGAAGTATTATGTTATAATCTCCATTCCTATACAATTAAATATTCTGCTTTCCTCAAGCTTGAGAAAATTTGTTAATCATGGGGTCGAAACTGTACCCTACATGACACAGAGGATGTAACATCTACATATGATATAATCACAGGCTGTCGACAAAAGGGAGAGAGAGAGAGAAATGGGGTTTAACGTCCACTCGACACAAACTAGGTCATTTCGGGACTAACATATGGTTTAATTTTATTTCAATAATTCGCTTGCGCATAGTAGTCTTTAGCAAGAAATGAAATGAAATGAAATGGGATTTAACGTCCTACTGTTCTGCACCTATACTAAGCTAATGAAGACGGGCATACGCCATACAGTGTGCTATGAGGGAAATTTTGACCGGACATTGGCACTATCGCCTACTCTTATATCGAATTCCAACTGCCAGGGGATCTTTTACGTGCATTCCAATATATACACGGGACCTCGGTTTTTCGTCTCAACCGAAGGACTAGACGGCTGTCCTTATCAGGCCCTCCGTTCTGCACCACTGACATGGGGAAACCACGTCGGAAAATCTGGATGAACTTTCTCGGCCAATGCAGGGATAGAACACCTGACCTCCAGGCTAGCGAGCCAGCGTCTTAAAGTATAGCAAGAACAATCAACTCTTTATATAAATCTTACATAATGCATCTTTAATATGCATTTAACAACAATAACTTACATTTAGCATAAAGACAGTCCATCATAGATTTAAATACATCTAATTTAGTTTTAATAGAGAAATTGATGAAATTTGTATCCAGTAAAACATGGTAGGGTGGTCCGAGCTGGGTATTATAGTTAAAGAACAAAGCTGTGGAGGCTTTTGTCCTGAAAATAGAAAACATTACATAATTGCAGAGTTGTTTGTTTCTCATTTGTTGCACGTAATGAGAGTGAGAAATGGGGTTTAACATCCACTAACATATGGTTCGATTTTATTTCAATAATTCGCTTGCACGTAGGGGTCTTTAGCAGTGGGAGGAAACCGGAGGACCCGGAGAAAACCCACAAGGTTCGACAGGCAACCATACTCCTTGTCACGTACAACCGGGGATTGGAAACCATGCCAGTTGACTCAATGACAGACCTTATGATCTAATGAGCACACATAATGAGTAGGATCTGTATAAATACAAAAGCAATTAATTTGTATATTTATTTCGTTTTTTATGAGTGCAATGCGAGATGGAGAATCTTGCCTGGATAGCAGAGTTATTTTTTATTTCCATTCGTCAAGGGTTCTTTTATGTGAAGGTAACAGATTGACCTCAGTTTTTCGCAACATCCAAATTAAAGGCACACTTTCCTTGTAATCCAACCCCGAAATAAATCCAAAGTTTCTTCTCGACCCAAGTGCTATTGCTTAAAACAATGATAATTAATTGTGAAGCCACGGTGGCTAAGTGTGTAAGACGCTGGCTCGCTAGCCTGGAGGTCAGGTGTTCGATCCCTGCATTGGCCGAGAAAGTTCATCAGGATTTTCCGACGGGGTTTCCCCTTGTCAGTGGTGCAAGATGGAGGGTCTGACAAGGACAGTTGTCTAGTCCTTTGGATGGGACAAAAAACCGAGGTCCTGTGTACACATTGGCATGCACGATCCCTTGGCAGTTGGAATTCGATATAAGAGTAGGCCATAGTGGTGCTACCCACACTGTATGGCATATGCCCGTCTTCATTAGCCCAGTCAGAGCAGAAGAGTAACATGTTAAATGTCATTTCATTTATAACTAATCGTAAACACTATGGCTGACATCACTTCAAATTTGTTGTTAATTCAATGAACCAGTAATAACTTACTGTGTAATGATTTTCATTTCAGGAACTTTGGACTTTTTCTTTTTCTTATCTTTAATTCTGTCATCTTTCTTTCTGAAATGTTAACATCGTGAGCTATTAATATGTGATGTAATGACCAATAAACAGTCATCCTTATACAATACCTGTTACCTTTCATTAGCCCGTCGGTGCAGAATGTTAAATGGTAACCCCATTTCATTTCACAATAATGATACATACAAAGTTTGTCAAGAAAATTTATTAATTTCATGATCAAATGAACTACTCTTTTGACAACAGCTCCACTAACCTCAGGGTTCATTCACAGGGTTTTCAATAATTCAAATTATCTACCCTTGATCGTAGCTTGATTCTACGAACCAATAAAAAACAGTTTGCATCCCAGTCTAAACGTCATTGTTTACATTCACCACAATAATCTTAATTGCAATAAAATAAGAGTTACTTCCCTTCACCCACTCGACTGGTCGATAAAAATAGCAGACCTATCAAGGGCGGATGATTTAAGTCTGTCTCCCCATGGATGGATCCAGAGGTTCGTGGAGTAAAACGGAACAATACCACTGGGTATAGACTATAGGTTCTAAAAATAGCACAAGACTCTACACTAGTGTACATACAGTTGGCAACACATTCCTAATTACATGATCCATTGGAAATAAATCTAGTTTAATTCAAGCAGGTTTTTATTGGTTATCCTCAAGAGGCTGATCAATCATGACATCATTACTTTTTCTCTCATCCAAACTTTCTCATCTTATTATCATGTAACTTAATATTATCACTTGTCATGTTTGATATAACTCTTAGAAAAATAAATAAATAAATTGACTCGATCAATGGGTTGATCTTATTTTTAGGTGTGATGTGGGCTAGATTTCTTTAACATTACTATATTAAAACTCACATTCTACTGTCTTTTAAACTGATTCGTCTTTTGGTTGCTGCAAATTTTTGTTGCATCTGTCGAATTTTACCCTGAAAAGAAATATGCAAAAGTAAAAATCTTGGTTTAAAGGAGTTAAATCGCTAATATATGGGTCAAATGGGTCTCAACGGATATAATAATGTAATATGAATGTATATAAACTGATTTACATTCAATCATTTCATGTTTACTGTAATTTCTAATCAGTTATGTTCGGTGAAATACGCCAGAAATCTCAATCAAATGGCAATCTCTAGCGTCTGGTTATTCCATTCTACATAGTATTTATAGCACATGCTCTCCAGATAACAATGGCGTCGCCATTTGACATGACTTGTGGAATATGTTTAGCCTCGTTCTTCTAGCCCCTTGTTACAAATGGCGCTGAAACGCATTATGGTACACGATTTGTGTACTAATGGTAAAATGTTTATTTTGTCTTAAATGTTGGATATCAGAAGCCCATCTTTTCCCGGTAAGATCACAACATCATTTAAATGTTGATTTAAATTGAAAAATAATTCGTGTTTTCAGAGTCGAAGACTTTGGATGATATTGAGTTAGAGACTTAGCTACTCCTTGTCATGCACAACAGGGGAATCAAAATCACGCCAGTTGACTCAATGACAGACCTTATGATACAAGTTACAACGCGCTAACCATTCGGCCATCGAACCTCCACTAACCAGGAGGACTCGGGTTTGATACCGCCATCGGTGTTGGCCGATAAAGTTCAACTGGATGTTCCAGTCTAGTTCCTCCTTGTCAGAGTACTTGGCACGGAAAAAGCTTTGAAAGGAACAAAATTAAAAAACTAAACACTGACAGCACAAAGCATGTAGTGCCACTGTCATGACCAAAACAATTTGCTAGTTTTACTAGAAATCTGCAGGCCAAATTGGGTTTTTGGTCAACATTAAATGAATGATTAATTAAGCATTAATATTTAACTTTAGTGATTGCAAAACACATATTAACAGAACACAATTTGTAATCACTGATTTTATTCTAAAAAAAAAGCATGAGGTTTTGACAAGTAGGGCCCTATCCTCTTATCATCGTGCTGATCACGATACAAGGATACCCGTTGAAACGTCATGCTTTTAGAATAAAACTAGTGATTGTTTCCCATAAAAATTGTGTTCTGTTGTTAGAAATATTATTAATATTATTAGGCCTATTCAATTTCAATATAATTATAAATTGCAGTTGATGTTGACTATCAGACTATCTCTGATTAATTTTTTTCGCGACTAAAAACGTGATATGAACTTGCTACAACCATAAACAACCATCATAATGATATCAATAATCTAAATTATAACAGGGAGAATTGGAGATATATTACCATGATTTATTAATTTCGTGTCAACAACACGCTTTCCGGAAGTTGATTTTGCTGAGGTCTTTGTATAACTCATGCAGTAAAGAGCTAGGAAGGGAGATAACTATTTGTATAAAATGAAATTAACAGGTTCACACCACTGTTGTTTTCTCCATTATAACTTGAATGTTAATTCTGGCTTTATCTTAAATTTCAAATTTTCCTATAGTAATCTTTCCTTGCATTCTTATCGTTGTCATAATAATCATCTGATAAAAATCTTGAATAAGGATGGTCATCTAGATTTTTTTAAAAAAAAATATGTAGCCTATAGGTCTACTGCCGTACTGGGTAATAAGTAGTATAGTAACTACTATTTATGACATCAATCATGATTAAAAGAAATCTGATTAATGCTGAAAATAACGTATCATGCCTTCAGTCTGGATTCCCACTAACAAATACCTATTTTTACTTCAACCATTAGAAATACTCAGGTGCGGATCCAGAGGGAGGGTTTGGGGGGTTCGCCCCCCCTCCCCCCTGCTCAGCTACATAAAAAATTTTGAAAAAACAACCTTTTTTATGAGAAAAGTGTCATAATTGTGCTTTATCCTTTATCGTCAGATGGGCACTCAAAGTGGGAGATAATGATATAGACATATGTGATATCACAATTAATGCTTAATTGCATCAATAAAATTGAATCACAATGTCATTGTATTAATTCATAATAAAAATTTACGTCAAACAGGATGTTGGATTTCTCTGTTTAAAAAGATCAATTCAATGTGTATGTATATACGTCAAAATGACGATAGAGACCATGTATTTCTCAAAAAATTTCAAGCCGTAAGGGGGGGGGGGATACATTTTCTCAGGACTTGGCAAACCCCCTCCTGCAAAAATTCCTGGATCCACCCCTGATACTGGATGAGTTGTGAAAATAAAGATCTGATGTGACCAGAACAAACTCCTTGAGATTTAATAAGAGTTTTCCAGACCAATCCGATTAAAAATAAATCAAATCACATAAATAACTGACATATTTTTCTTTTTGTAAACGATGTTCAGATCACACGAACTTGTTAGCCGTTCAAAATGTCTGTAGCTCATGTTTATACTGGGTTTTGTTTTGTGGTGTAGAATTTGACAACCCAAGCGTATGGGAGAGAGAGAGAGAAATGGGGTTTAACATACACTCAACACAAACTATGTCATTTCGGGACTAACATATGGTTCAATTTTATTTCAATAATTTGCTTGCGCGTAGGGGTCTTTAGCACTGGGAGAAACCGGAGGACCCAGAGAAGACCCACAAGATGGAACAGACGACTCTACTCCTCGTCATGTGGTGAATCGAAACCACTTCTCTTGACTCAATGACATACCTTATGATGCAACACGCAGGCATCAATCATTCGGCCAACACCACCCCCTACACCCCCGCCCCCACCCCACCCCCAAGCGTATGAGCTATAATAGTATATGGCTTATCACTCTACTTAGCCAAAGCAGAAATTGTTCTCGCTCGAACATAGTCAAGGTTTTGATGTAGTGAAACCATACACTAAGTTTCATCACTCTCCCTTAATTAGAATCAATGTTATCCTGTCACAAAACATTGACCAATCAAATTGCTTATCTCTGCTTAGCCTTAGCAGAAAATGTTAATCATTAAACACTGTAAAGACATGCTCCAAAGGAACATCTACACCAAAAATGAACATTCTACCTCAATCAGAAGCAGAGGGTTGTTGTATTCCAAAGTCATTACCAATCAAATCACTTGTCGCTACATAGTCTAAGCAGAAAATTTTGATCATAACATGGGAGCCACGGTGGCTCGGTGAGTAAAACGCTAACCTAGAGGTTCTGTGTTTGATCCCTGTGTAGACCTAGAAAGTTCCTCCGATTTTCCTGCGTGGTTACCCCTTTTCAGTGGTGCAGGACAGAGGACCTGGCAATGGACAACGTATAGTCATTCTGATGAATCAAATAACCGAGATCCCATGTAAACATTGGTGTCCAGATAAAAAATTGGAATTCGATATAGGAGTGGACCGTAGTGCCGCTGTCTGGGCAACATTTCCTTCATAGCACACTGTATGGCGTATGTCCGTCTTCATTAGCCCAGTCGGTGCAGAACAGTAGGACGTTAAACCCAATTTCATCATTTCTGATCATCGAACTTAGTCAAGTTATTATGTAATGAAAATATATTCTGAGTTTCATCCCTCTCACTCAATTAGAATCAAAATTATCATGCTCCAAAACCTCTAACATTCAAATTGTTTATCTCTGCTTAATTAGCCATAGGGGAAAATGTTCATTATCGAACTCTGTCAAGGTAATGACCAAGCTGATTAAAATACAGATCTATATTTCGTTTTTTTTATACTTTAAATGATCTACACTACATGAAGATCTGACCAGTTGTAGTGGAAGGTCACGTCAGAGGTCATACGAGTGGCTTCTGACCCTATGATGTTGGACATTTGATTAACCCATCATGTTTCTAGTGAGTTACCAACAGTTCCGTGCACCTTACACCAAAAACTCGTCGCAACAGACCATTTCATTGGCTAATCCATCACATCATCCAGAACGCGGGTTATATAACAACTCTTCCAGATTCTAGTGTAGTAAAGACAAGTAAAATGAAATTTTGAAGCATAAAAAACGAAACGAAATGGGATCTATGTTTTAATCAGATTGGGTACTGATGTAATGAAACTATACATCAAACTATATGGACGGACGGACAAACCCATTTTAATAGTCTCCTACCCTGCTTTGAAAGGCGGAGAGATAAAAAAAATTTTATACCAATATTTTTATTATTTTTTTTATAAAATTCAACAATATAATTACTTCCCATCATATCCATAATATAGAAAAAATAACAATTTGATACATGTACACCATATATACTAAGTTTAACATAATTAAATATAAAATGTCTCCACATGGTAATATTCAGAACTATTAGAGTATTATTACAGAATAGCTAACCCTCTATGCATTTTTATACGTAAAATGGAAGCTCAATATTGTATTACATGTATGTACTGGTATTTATAAAAGCAATGATGAAAAACAACCTTGTATGTTAACCTCATGGTAAGAAATGCCAATTGTAGCAAAACGTTTCATGTAAATGTCTTCACCTATTGTCTTAGGATGAGCTAACACCACCCCCTCGGCCCTCGTATGTTAAACTCATAGTAATAAATGCCAATTTTCACAAAACGTTTCCTGTAAACGTCTTTACCTATTGTCTTAGGATGAGCTTACACTATCCCCTCAGTCCTCGTATTTTAACCTCATAGGAAGACATGGCAATTTTCACAAAATGTTTCCTGTAAACGTCTTTACCTATTGTCTTAGGATGAGCTTACACCATCCCGTCGGCCCACCTTTAATGTTAGGGGCTATAATATATAAAAGTAATGATAAAAAACAAGTAATATAAACCTTATAGGAAGAAAACCAAATTGTCGCAAAACCTTTTCTTGTAAACGTCTTTAAAATTTGGTGGAGCTAACACCACCTTAGTCATCCACTCGGTCATTTATTGATTGGACAATATTGTTTTCATTTACATGTATGTCAGTTGTCTTAGAACATTCTCCCAGACTTCCTTTGGTCTGGAGTCAATCAAACATTGATACAACAAATATAGCCGCATTCTTACCATCACAGTAATAAACCGAGAAGAAGTCACTTGACAATCATTTTCACATTTAAAATATGAAATTGTATGATATTTCATACAATATACAATGGTATAAGCATACTAATTCATGTACAGCACCAGAATAAAGTTTTGACTAGGTTGTTGTACATCACCAAGCATGCATGTCACACAATAACGATATCTAATGCTACGTTCCTACTATCACGACTCGTGCTACGATTGAAATCGTGGAGTAATCGTGGTGATCCTATCAAGTCTTATCATATATTGAGATCAGTTGTAGTAATCATGTTGACCATATTAAAACGTATCCGAACATATCTGCACATACCAGATTGTGGACTCAATAGGGACAATCCTATCGTAATGCATTGCATGACAGTGGGAACCTAGCGTAAGACATTACATGAAAATATGAAATTATAATATTGATATAATATATAATAGTTCTTTGTTTGTATCAAAACATCAGCACAGAGAAGTTAATCTTATTAATATTATGGAATTCATAAAGTATAGCCATTTTAAATAATTCAGTGAAATATAATTTCCTAGTCTTCAAAAAGCAACAAAACTCCTTTCTGGACAAAAACAAATATTCCAATTTAAATTAGAGAGAGAGAGAGAGAGAGAGAGAGAGAGAGAGAGAGGTGGGGTTAAATGTCCACTTGACACAAACTAGGTCATTTCTGGACTAACATATGGTTTTAACTTTTTTTCAATAATTCGCTTGCGCGTAGGGGTCTTTAGCAGTGGGAGGAAACCGGAGGAGCCAGAGAAAACCCTACTCCTTGTCACATACAACCGTGGATTCGAAACCACGCTAGTTGACTTAATGACAGGCCGTATGATACAGCACGCATGTGCTAACCATTCGGCCATCCAACCCCCCTAATTTATACTAAATTCAGGGTAGTGATGGCTGTGAGGAAGAATATTGTCTTCACTTTATAAAAAAATGAATAAAATATTTTATCTACGAGGAAAAACAGAAGCCTTATTGAGGGAAAAAAGGTACATTGTGGAATAATATACACCCCTGTCCTATTAGTGTTAATATTAAGTCCCATTAAATCCATCCCTTATTAACTGTATTAACGGTATCAACCTCTTTAGGGCTAAACTGTAAAATGGTCGTAATGGCTTTCAACATTTTCTCTTTTCCTAAGCTGTCCCGACTGATCATGTATTTGTAAATCACATTTTTTAAGTATTCTAAATTGGCTCCTTCTCTTGTAATATCCCGTTCCCGTTTATGGATAACTTCTTTTAAAGATTCTATTTCATCGTGAAGCTTCTCTTCCTTACCGCTGACCGCAAGTTGTAATTCACGAAGACTCGTCTCCAACTGACGTTTCTGTTTCCGTAGCGATGCGATCTCTACATTTTTACGAGCTTGCTCTTCGGCGAAATGAAGCAGAGTTGTCTCCTCGTGAGCAGAATTTTTAAACAAAAGACGTGATACTGCTTCTTCTTCTGAATTCTGTTTTTGGAGTGGTTCGTGGCTAATCGACGATTCTCGAGCATGATGCGAGTATTCATTTTCTAATTTTTGTGACTGCACACAAGTTGAGCGTAAAGCTAACAAGTCCTTTTCTTTTTCGGCCAACATTGAAACCGTGCGATCGCGTTGTTTCTTCACCTCCAGTTCCAGCTCGGCAATAGCTTTTTGATGTTCCTGTTCCATCTCAGCAATCTGGTGCTTGTTTCGTTCCTCCAAGGTGAGGATAGTTTTACTCAAACTTTCTACTTTCAATTTGTGTTTTTCTTCCGAATCATCAAGTTGTAAATGGGCCATTCGTAATTTCTCCCGTAATTCACCGACCTGGTTCTTTAATGTATCGAGTTCTTTATTGGCCGTGTTGTCCTGCAACAGAAACACAAAAATATGAAAAGGAAATTGTTCTTGTACGTTACAAATTATCAACTGTAAGGTCTTGTCCGCAAAATCAGAAATGTGAAAACGAAATTGTTCTTCGTTGTTACAAATTATCAACCACAAGGTCTTGTCATTAAAATCAGAATCAATCAATTTTAAAAATAAATTGCAATGAAATGAAATTGTGTTTAGCATCATACTGTTCTGCTCTGTCTGGGCTAATGAAGACCAGCATACGCCATGTAGTGTGCTATGAGGGAAATTTTGCCCGGATAACTGCACAACGACCTACTGTTATATCAAATTCAAACTTCAAAGAGTTCTTTTAAATGCATCCCAATGCATAAACTGGACCTCAGCTTTTTGTCCCATCTGAACAATTATAATTGATCCTTGCCAGGCCCTCAGTCCTGCATCCATACAAGGAGAAACCGCAACTTAAAACCCGATGAACTTTCTTGCCAATGCAGGGATTGAAAATAAATAAAAGAGGCACTGTTATTTCCATCCCATTGGTATTTACCAAAAGTTAGAGGTACAACACTCACAAGATGTTTACTAAGTAAACAAGGGCCATATCTCAAGAAGGAATTACCTGAAATTGCCGAGATTTGAAACGCTTCTTCGTTTCACTTATTTCAATAAATACATATAAACTTAAAAAATTGACTGATAACATTTATCGTTTGACATTTCAATGCGTGCGTACAAAACCTTAATAACATTTCCATGCTTCCATTGTCTGCAATATCACGGCTGTGGAAACAGACAATACACCACTACTACTAACTGCTACTCTGTTCTCATCAGAGGGGGTTGGGAGGCCATATGGTTATCACGTGCACATTGGAGCAGAGGACTGTCATTGAGTCAACTGCCGTGGTTTCAATTCCCAGCCTGTACATGACAAGGAGTAGGGTTGCCTGTCCAACCTTGTGGGTTTTCTCCTATTCCTCTCGTTTCCTCCCACTGATAAAGACCACTATGTTCAAAGTGAATTATTGAAATAAAATTGAACCACATTTTAGTTCTGAAAAGACCTAGTTTGTGTTCTCACCAGAATTCAGTATATTTTTACAAATCATTGCTACACCTACCTTTGTTTTAGTTTTAAGAACTGACTGGGCTCGTAATTTATATCTCTCGAATTCTTCTTTAACATGTTCCAGTTCTTCTTTATATTTCTGACATGTCGTTCTTTCTTCATCAGATTCACATAATAAAACTATTAAAAAACAAAAAAAACGTGTGGATACATCAAACAATATTTGTACAAAATAGGAATTTCAATATTTTAAATGCCATTATACAAGATGCTAAAAATCTTTTGTTATAAGTTGATTCAAAAAAAAAAAAAAAAATATTAGTTCAATATTGCTTCAATTTGATTAAGTATTTACAAAAAATGAAGCATTCGGCATACTCTGTTGATAAACCAGCAAGCCAGCACCACCTATAAGTGTTGGGTAAAATATTTTGAAGGTCCAATTAAATATAAGCTGGCAGATTTGTTAAGGTTGGTATTTTCGTTTTGTTTCCTTAAATTTAAACATACATTATGCAAGATCTAAATCTGCCTATTGCATGTCTTTCTTTAGACACGAAATGTTATATAAACTATTAATTAGACATTTATTAACAAAACAAGACCATAATCAACTCTTGATGGCATCTGATACTCGCGATTTTAACTAGATTAAAATGGTTTGCCATTTAAAAATTTAATTTAAAAACGGGAAAGCGGGGCTAAGTTACCACTGTGCACACATCTTGTCAAAACTACATGTATAAACAATGATAACTTGGCTGAGAATGAAGTAATTTGAATGAAATTTTCAATATTTTCTTTTTTTATCATCTATTTTTGAATTATTATAGCAAGAATGACCAACTCTTTATTAAACTCTTAACTAATGTATCTTTAAAAATATTAAAATTTTAATATTGTCAGAAAAATGCAAATGAAGATGATCAGCTTTAACAATATTTCATGTAACAATTAATCACATAATATACCTACCATCGATATCTACTGGTTTCTCAGATCGTGAATTAGCCTCCAGAAGTAATCTTTTCAACTGTATGATCTTCTCTGACAAAGACTGGGCATCTAAATTATTTTCATCTGTATCGTAAGATTTTGGTGCCGAGTGTGCTGCTCGGGCAAGTGCCGAGTTTTCAATATCCAGTTGAGTGACTCTCTCTTTCAGTCGCTGTATGGCTTGCTGATCCTGGTAGCGTAGTCGTTCGTAATTCCCCACGACTTCCGAAAGTTCCGCTAACTTTGTCTCAAGGGAGGTTACTCTTTCTTCACTTTGAACAGAGACCTGAACTGCTCTTGTTTCAGCTTCTGAGGCTCTCAGTATTTCCTTCTCAACTTGTCTGTGAGCTTCACTCTAAAATTATACAAAGAAATGAAATGAAATGAAATGGGGTTTAACGTCCTACTATTCTGCTCCGAACTGGGTTAATGAAGACGGGTATTCGCCATACAGTGTGTTATGAGGAAAATTTTGCCCGGACAGCAGCACTACGGTCTACTCTTATATCAAATTCCAACTGTCAAGGGATCTTTTATGTGCACACCAATGTGTACACGGGACCTCGTTTTTTTTTGTCCCATCCGAACGACTAGACAGCTGTCCTTGTCAGGCCCTCCGTCCTGCATCACTGACAAGGGGAAACCACGCCGGAATAACACAAAGAAATGATCTGGTTAAACTACACAGACCTTGAAATTATAATTTTACAATTAAATACTGTTCATACAATTTCACTCTTACTATGTAGGCCTGGAAATAAAAAATTTTAGCCTTAAAAACTGTTGAAAGATAGTCATCCCAATTGATTAATGATGTACAATGATTAATTTTTGAACAGTGGTCAGGAAATTAAATACTTGTAAATTGAACACATTATCAAAATTAATCAGTCAGCTTTAAACTAGACAAAACTGGGTGATTTTAAATGATTTTTACAAATTTTTAAACAAAGATTAGATATTAAACGAATGTGACAGAAATTAGTGTTAATTACACAAGATTAAATGATACCTGGGTTACAGTGTAACCTTGTGTATTTAGCACCAATTTCTTTCACATTCATTCAATATCAAATCTTTGTTTAAAACTTTGTAAAAATCGTTTAATTAGATGATTTGGCAAGATTTTAAACGATTTTTACAAATTTTTAAACAAGGATTTGATATTAAAACGATTGTGAAAGAAATTAGTGCTAAATACACAAGATTAAATGATACGCAGATTACAGTGTAAACAAACCTTCATTGAGGTCATTTCTTTCTGTAAATCTAATAACATGGGTGAGGGTTGATTCGCCTTCTCCTCCGCGGCTTTTAATCTGTCTTTAACTGATTTTAACTGGGCTGATAAATTATCGATCTGTTTCTCATATTGTTCTTTCACTGTTGGTACACTGGCTATCTGTTGTTTCATAGACGCCTGGACTTCATCTAACTAAAATACAACAATCAATACACATGGGTTAATTGTTTATACACGGCCACGCAGCAATACACTTGGGCTAATTGTTTATACACGGCCACGCAGCAATACACATAGGCTAATTTTTTTATACACGTATACACAGGCATGCAGTAATACACATGGGCTAATTGTTTATACACAGGCATGCAGCAATACACATGAGCTGATTGTTTATACACGGCCACACAGCAATACACATGGGCTAATTGTTTATACACGGCCACACAGCAATACACATGGGCTAATTGTTTATACACGGCCACGCAGCAATACACATGGGCTAATTGTTTATACACGGCCACGCAGCAATACACATGGGCTAATTGTTTATACACGGCCACACAGCAATACACATAGGCTAATTGTTTATACACGTATACACAGGCATGCAGTAATACACATAGGCTAATTGTTTATACACAGGCATGCAGCAATACACATGAGCTAATTGTTTATACACTGTCACACAGCAATACACATGGGCTAATTGTTTATACATGGCCACACAGCAATACACATGGGCTAATTGCTTATACACAGGCATGCAGCAATTCACATGAGCTAATTGTTTATACACGGCCACGCAGCAATACACTTGGGCTAATTGTTTATACACAGGCATGCAGCAATACACATGGGCTAATTGTTTATACATGGACACACAGCTATACAAATGGGCTAATTGTTTATACACAGGCATGCAGCAATACACATGAGCTAATTGTTTATACACGGCCAAGCAGCAATACACTTGGGCTAATTGTTTATACACAGACTTGCAGCAATACACATGGGCTAATTGTTTATATACAGACATGCAGCAATACACATGGACTAAACATGTGCTAATTTTCTATACTGATATGCAGGAACTGCAGTGACTCAGTGAGTATGTCGTGGGCTAAACATGTGCTAATTGTCTATATGGACAAGCAAGAGCTGCAGTGGCAAAGTGAATAGAAATGAAAATGAAATGGGGTTTAATGTCCTACTATTCTGCTCCAATTGGGCTAATGAAGAGGTCCTGTGTACACATTGGCATGCACGTAAAACATCTCTTGGCAGCTGGAATTCGATGTAAGAGTAGACCGTAGTGACGCTGTCCGGGCCAAATTTCCCTCACAGCACACGGTATGGCGTATGCCCATCTTCATTAGCCCAATCGGAGCAGAACAGTGGGATGTTAAACCCCATTTCATTTCATTTCATTTCAATTTCATCGTAAGCCTTGTTTGTGTAGGGCGTTAAACCCCATTTCATTTATACTTATATACACATGTGCAATGCTTAAGAGAGAAAGAGAGAGGGAAATGGGGTTTAACGTCCATTCAACACAAACTAGGTCATTTCGGGACCAATACATGGTTCAATTTTATTTTAACAATTCGTTTGCGCGTAGGGGTCTTTAGCAGTGGGAGGAAACCGGAGGACTGGAGAAAACCCACGCGGTTGGACGGGCGACCCTACTCCTTGTCAAGTACAACCGGGGAATCGAAACAACACCAGCTGACTCAATGACAGACCTTATGATACAGTGCGCACGTGCTAACCATTCGGCAATCCAACCCCCCGCATGGATAAAAGCATTTTGATGTATTAGTTAATTGAAAACTGTTAATCAAAGGCTATTTATCAAGATACTGATATAAAGCTACCTGATTTTCAAAATGTTCTTTAGCCATTCTTTCTACTGAGTGTAGTTTTTGAAGTTCTCGAATCATCATAGCATGATCGGTCTGCTCCTTCTCACGTTCAAGTTGCTGAGTTCGGATTTTATTCTTCAACTGAAAAAACAAACCAACAAGATTTATAGGTGGCAAGACAGCTTTTAATTTTTAGAAAGCAGTCTCCAAGTATGTTTTAAAATTTACTTTGAAGAGGTTTTTTGAGGGATTTTTACTACAATATTGTTCAAGTTGAATCTCTAAAAGGAATATTAGTCCTAAAATGGTTCAATTCCATTCAGTATTTACAAAGTTATGTGGAATTCTCAATTTTGACACATTCGACATAAAAGAGAGAGAGAGAGAGAGAAATGGGGTTTAACGTCCACTCGACACAAACTAGGTCATTTTTCCGGACTAACATATGGTTTAATTTTATTTCAATAATTTCGCTTGCGCGTAGGGGTCTTTAGCAGTGGGAGATAACCGGAAGACCCAGAGAAAACCCATGAGGTTGGACAGGTGACATATTTGACATACTCTGCAGACAACAAAATCAAGCCAACAACATTTTGATTTTGTTTTCCTGATTAAATATCCAAACTCATGGGTTTTCCTTCCACTTCTAAAGACCCCTAAGTACAAGCGAATTAATGAATTAAAATTGAACCACATGTTAGTCCCGAAATGACCAAGTTTGTGTCGGGTGGACGTTTAAACCCCATTTCTAAAAAACAAAAAAAGATCTCCATGACAATACCTCCAATATTTTAGAATTCATTTCAGCTACTGTTCTTTCGTACTCATTTTTAGCTGTAGCTAGGTGTTGCTGTAGTTCTTCATGTTCTCCCTGGTAAAAATACAATCAAATATACAATATAATATTATACAAGAACAGCAAAATATTCAACTAAATGAGTACACACATAGATCTTTTGTATGAGTGCACACATCCATCGTTTGTAGGAGTGCACACATCCATCATTTGTAGGAGTGCACACATCAATCTTTTGTAGGAGTGCACACATCAATCTTTTGTAGGAGCACACACATAAATCTTCTGTATGAGTGCACACATAGATCTTTTGTATGTGTGTACACATTGATTTTTTTGTATGAGTGCACACATTGATCTTTTGTATTTGTGTGCACATTGATCTTTTGTATGGGTGCACACATCAATCTTTTGTATGGGTACATATACATCAATTCATATGAATGCACACATCGATCTTTCGTATGAGCACACACATAAATCTTTCAAATAAGTGCACACACACATACATCTGTCTTGGGATTTGTTTTAGCTGGTTCACACTTGTCTGTGGTAATGCCTGCAAAGCTGACAACTAAAGTGCTGCCTCATCATTCGCTTCATGGGACAAAAAAAAAAACAAGGTCCAATCATGCACACTTTTGCCTGCCAGTTGGAATTTTACAATGGTAAGGCTGATGTCCAGGTAAAATTCACCTGTGTGCTTATTCCTGGGAAGACTCTTCTGGTCAAATACGGTTTTATCTTGTATTTCAGAAAATCTTTAACGTTGTGTAGCCTTTTATACTTACTCTTAGCTTCTTCTTATCAGCTACAAAATCTGCCTCTAATCGAGATTTTTCTGCTGTAACTGTTGCTATTGATGCTGATAAAGTCTTCAGTTGTTCTTTTAGGATGTTTACTTCATCTTGTGCACTTGACGACTGCACCTTAGAAAGATATAGAGAGAGAGAGAAATGTTATTTTTTTAATGTCTACATGATACAAACTAGGTCATTTTGGACTAACATATAGTTCAAGCATCTCTTGCACTAGCAATTTAATTGACGGGCCGTCAATAAATATCAAAGGAACTTTGATATGTCAATTAATTGATTCAATTAAATTGTTTCAATTAATTTGTCGTCAATGTCCTCTATACACATTAAATTTCTTTGTCAGTTGTCAATTAATTGACATCAATTAATGGACGAAAAAAATTGAACATGTGTGGGCTGCTTTAGAAGGAAAAAGAAAACAATAAATGTACTGTTACAGATGATTTTGTATATTCTTTTTTATAGAAACAAGAAGGCTCAGTCAACAACATTCTGTGACTTTGCATACCAAATATGGCCATTCTTGCTATAATAGTTAAAAAATAGATAATTCAAAAAGAAGGTATTGAAAATTTCACTTAAATTACTTTATTCTGAGCCAAGTTATCACTGTTTGTAGTTTTGACAAGATGTGTGCATTGATTGTTTATTATCGTACATGTAACTAAAAACGGTAAGACAAAGTCAAGATGAAAAGGTCAAATATTGTCATTCAAAAGGGGGAAAGCGTGAATTGTTTGAAATAGACAAATTGATCTGTATCTAGTCTGTACTAAAATCTGGGGAAAAAAACTACCATCACCACATACATGTAGTTTGACCTCTTGTAAACCATGTGGTGTGAACATTGGATATGGTTGTATCAATGTAGAAGATTTAACCACAAATCACAGATTATATAAAGACAGAATCTGTCTTTATCTAAAACTTCAGTTAAACATACATTATGTAAGACATAAATCTGACTATTGCAGGTCTTACTTTAGGCCTCGAAATGACAAACACAAACCCATAATCAATAGAAGAATGTATATATTTTTGCTTGAAATCGTCAGGAAACAAGAATTAATGACATTTCTTATTTAATTAACAGGTTGATGTTTCTGATCCCAGATTTTTCGGCCATGTTTGATTCACATCTTTTTAACGTGGATCCATCTGATCCAGTCTTCAAGAAAATCGGTTGGCTGAGACTTAAATGGATTTGAACACCCACAAGATTGCAAATTTTAACAACAAACTGGATAATCAAGTATCATTGCCACGATAATACATTTTCAAACAGTCATAATTTCACCCAGAATAAATGAAATTTTCAATATGTTCATATTTTATCATCAATTTTTTAACTATTACAGCTTACACTGTCACCTGGGTTACTAGCACTAATTTCTTTCACATTCATTTAATATCAAATCTTTGTTTAAAAATTCATAAAAATCATTAAAAATCATTTAAAATCTCCCAAAATCATCTAATTTGAAATCATTGTTTAAAAATTCTTAAAAATCATTTAAAATCACCCAAAATCATCTAATTTGAACTTATGAATTTTAAAACTAAGATTTGATATTAAATGAATGTGAAAGAAATTAGTGCTAAATACACAAGATTAAATGATACCCAGGTTACAGTGTGAACTGTAATAGTTCAAAAATTGATGATAAAAAAATAAAATTTCGTAAAAATCATTTAAAATCACCCAAAATCATCTAATTTGAACTTACGAATTTTTAAACAAAGATTTGATATTAAATGAATGTGAAAGAAATTAGTGCTAGATACACAAGATTAAATGATACCCAGGTTGCAGTGTTATAAACTTACTTTCAGTGGATCTGAAAATGAGTCATCTCCCGATTGTTCTACGGGAGGTTTCGACTCGGATGCATTGTTAGTTTTATCAGCTGACTGGGATGATGTTGATGTTTCTGATATAATCTTTAAACTGGCTTCCAGAGCTTCTTTCTCTTTAACGACACCTTTATAAGCTCTGACAACATCTACAAATAAAATGAAGGAAATGTAATGGGATTTAATGTCCTACTATTGCGCCCACCGGGCTAATGTGAAGACAGGCTGACAACCAGACAGTGGCAGAAAAACAAACTAATTTGTTCAAAGAATATGTCAATTTTTAGCATTATCCCGTTTATAATGTATATTTTGGTTTATGAGATATAAAAACTGTAAATTTAACCATTTTTTTTTTAGGCTTTGAGGTTAAATTCTTTGAAATGCTAATATTATGGCCTGTGAGAGGAGAGAGAAATGGGGTTTAACGTCCACTCGACACAAACTAGGTCATTTTGGGACTAACACATGGTTCAATTCTATTTCAACAATTCGCTTGCACATAGGGGTCTTTAGCTGTGGGAGGAAACCGGAGGACCCAGAGAAAACCCACGAGGTTGGACAGGCGACCCTACTCCTTGCCATGTACAACCCAGGAATCAAAACCACGCCAGATGATATAGCGCGCACATGCTAACCATTCGGCCATCCAACCCCCCATTATGGCCTGTAAATTGATTGACCTGTAAATAAGCTCTCCAGTAAGTCAATTTTACTGCAAGTCAGTCGACGTTACTGCAAGTCAGTCAATTTTACTGCAAGTCAGACAAGCCTGGCAAATATGACTGAAATGCCGGCACTGGCTAACATACCTGTACTACGATCAGAACTTTATATTTTTAAATCATATTTCAGTTAAAATTTATAATTATGTTTATTTTTACCTCTAAGTCTAGTTTCATATCTGGTTAGTTGTTCTTTTTGACTATCTATAGTCTTCAATAATTCATTCTTTGTTCCTCTGTCCATTCTTACAGCTTATATCTTTTCATCCATCTTCAAAATTAAATCTGTCAGTGAAAAAAGAAAAAGATTAAAGCCTATATGTTATTTGTTTATAATCTTGAACAGATTTGCGGTCTATTTAACAAACAAACTTCAAAATTTGTCTTCTAAAATTTACCAACAGCCGGAGTAGCCTACTCCCTATCCTGGGGCATGAAATGAAATGAAATGGGGTTTAACGTCCTACTCCGAACAGAGTTAATGGAGACGGGTATGCGCCATACAGTGTGCTATGAGGGAAATTTTGCCCAGACAACGTCACTATGGCCTACTTTTATATCAAATTCCAACTGTCAAGGGATCTCTTACGTGCACGCCAATGTGTACACAGGACCTCTGTTTTTCGTGCCATCTAAACAACTAGACAGCTGTCCTTGTCAGGCCCTCTGTCCTGCATCACTGACAAAGGGGAACCTATCCTGGGGCAATATTAATCCATCTTTATATGACATTCAGAAGAACTTAGAACATAAATAAACACAGTCATTTCGGAACTAACACATGGCTGAATTTTATTTCAATAATGTGCTTGCGCATTGGGGTCTTTAGCAATGGGAGGAAACCGGAGGACCCAGAGAAAACCCATGAAGTTAGACAGGCTACCCTATATCTTGTCATACGTACAACCGGGGAATCGAAATGAAATGAAATGAAATAGTGTTTAAACTCCTAGCTACTGTAACATGTTCTGCTCCTATGCTGGGCTCCGGGGAATCGTAACCATTACCATGCCAGTTGACTTATGACAGACCTTATGATACAGTACGCACATGCAACCATATGTCGAGGGAAATACAAACGTTTTTATATATTTCTGACATATTTGCATTGCCATTGCTGATTTTACATTTTTATGTCATTGTCAACTACAAATAATAAAGAAACGATGTCTGCTGACAGACCCTCTCTTTCATACTTCATACAAATATAACCTGATAATGTCAAGATCTTATCTAGCATGCTAACTTTTACTGATATTTTCTCGAAAAACATGACAAGAAAGAAAACAAATATTTGACAACACATTACCGGAAGTTTTTATTTATTTGATTAGACCAGCAGCAAATAAAATTAAAGTTGAAGAAATAGATAAAATAAAACTTTTTCCTATTCATTTGGTATTTGATTGTGCCTTTAAAACAAACAATCACACTCTCAATGATTCAATAATTTCTTAAAGAGTTAATAATGCTACGTTTTAATTTGTGCAAAACGAAAGTAGAGATACCTGAATAACCGGAAGTTAAAAAGCCACGTGTTGTTTGTTGTGGTACAGATTTTAGTTGGCTAGATTTTTTTAAGATCTACAACATTCACCAAAACATCAGTAAGTTTATAAGCTATTTTATGTTTGTCATAACACTTAACTTTTAAAATAACGTTTGGTTAAATAGATCCCCCTCAAACTACGCCCAGAAAACAATTAAATGATTGATTGAGATGGCTGGATACAGACTACTGATAACTGAGTTTCAGAAGATATTAATTAATTAATATATATCAATTTCAATGCCAATCGTGAGATAAAGATATCAGTTTATAATTCTCCCTCAATTAACATCTGTCGGTGAATTCTACCAGGTAGTTTTAAACCATAGTCTTAGATGATACAGTATTATCTAGTCACTATTGTTTAACCCACTCACCACTTCCACGTTCCACTGGCCAAGCCTCTGGTAGAATTTATATATATATATATATATAGAGAGAGAGAGAGATATGGGGTTTAACGTCCACTCGACACAAACTAGGTCATTTTGGGACTAACACATGGTTCAATTTTAGCAGTGGCAAGAAACCAGAGGACCCAGAGAAAACCCACAAGGTTGGACAGGCGACCCTACTCCTTGTCACGTACAACTGGGGAATCGAAGCCATGCCAGTTGACTCAATGACAGACCATATGATACAGCCCGCACGTGCTATTAACCATTCGGCCATCCAACACACGCTACATTCAGAGAACTGAACTAGACAATGTAGCTGCTGATTTGTAAATATATACATACATGTGTAGGGTGACCCGTGCACTTTACAGAAAGTTGGTCTCGACACGGCTAAATGTGCACGCTTCAGTTGCGTGTCTCGAACTGATTTCTGACTACCCCGCACTCGCTTTGAGTCGATAAATAGCCATGGCACGTGCAATTCTCTACAAATATATCAACTATTACAGCCGTAAAAAATCTATTGTTGACGATTTTGAATAGCAGTAAAATTTAGCTTCTTGGTTATTACAGCAGCTTTAGTAATTACGTTTGTTTTATTTTTTAAATTGCTTTATCAATAACTTTACCGTTAAGAGCGGCATCTTTTGGTTTAGTACATATACTATCTCTGAATCACTTTCTTTAGCAGGAACATGATACTAGCAGTAGTTTCATTTTACTTTTACAAGTTTCTTAAAACAATTGTTGAGTTGTCTAAAGTGCTTATTTCTAAATTCAATTTCTTGTTCTAGCTTTCTGTTATGTTTCGTAAAAAAGTAGTCTTGATTATCCCGACCTGTCAATCAGACGTAGAATGGTTGATAGACTGGTTAAGCGAGACTAATTTCAAAACAAGGGCACGTAACCTATCTTTTACTCAAAAGTGTCTGGATGTTATGGACGCAACTTGGAACCAGTTTTCAGTCTATTATTTATAGATGATTGATGGTCATAGCTTATTAAGTACAACATGATCGTTTATTTAGTGACTATAATTGTGTGAAACTGATTTGAGGCTTGGCATATATATAAATATTGTGGCGTAATTGTCGAGATATTTGGAGATATTAATTTATGGTGGGTCACCCTAACATGTGCGTGTTTCTTAATAAGCCCATTAAGAAACAAAATATGAATGAGAGGACATGGACTTTATTATTTATTCAGTGTTTTTTTTTTTCTTTTCTAGAAATGGATGACATTTTGAAAGATGATCGATTTTCACATATTGCCAAAGATCCACGATTTTGGCAAATGCCGAAGAAAGATAAGAAAGTTAAGATTGACAACAGATTCAAGGCCATGTTTAATGATGAAAGATTTCAGGTATACAATCAGAAAGAATATACAAAAATATAAACTCACTAATAGTCATTTGCATTTTTTGGACATTAATTTTTCATAGACATAATGTATTGAAATTGATTATACAACATTTACATGTAATTAAAACCACAAAATCAAAATATCAACAGTAGATAATCTGTCAGCTTGGATTTAAGCAGATTAAAAAGATGTCCATCAGCGAAAATCATAGGTTGTGCTGGCTTGTGTTGACTATATCATGTGGATGCTGAATGTTGACATATTATCTATTCATTATACATGTACCATGATTGCCTGGGTTCTATGGTTTGTTTTCCAACAGAAGCATCCTTTTCTAATGTTAAATGAATCCCCGGTTGTATGTAACAGGGAGTAGGGTCGCCTGTCCAACCTCGTGGGTTTTCTCCGGGTCCTCCGGTTTCCTCCCACTGCTAAAGACCCCTACGCACAAGCAAAGTATTGAAATAAAATTTAAAACCTTATGTTAGTCCTGAAATGACCTAGTTTGTGTTGAGTGGACGTTAAACCCCATTTCTCTCCCTCTCCAATGTTACATATTAATCAATTTTTACTCTTTCATTACAGGTAAAATACACATTAGATAAAAGAGGTCGACCAATCAATACAAGCAGTAAAGATAATCTACGACGTTTTTACGATCTGTCAGATGACGAGGATGAGGAAGAGAAAGGAAAAAAAGTTTCTAAAAAAGGAAAAGAAACAAAACAGAAAAAAACTTTAGATAACAAAGTGAAAAAGGAAAACAAAATTGACTCAAATAAAAGTATAGGTGTGAATGTGAAAGAAAAAAAGAAAAAGAAATCAAAAGAAAAAACCCAGACATCAGAAGTTAAGAAAAATGAAAGTAGAGTTGAAATTAACTTGAATGAAGATGATGATGACGTTGAAGATGATGATGATGATGATCAGGAAAAGGTAGAAGAAAGTTCAAATGATGATGAGGGTGAAGAAGATGATGTTGTCAGTAAGGAGGACAATGATGATGATGATGATGATAATGATGATAGTGACTATGATGAAGATGACAGTGATTATGGTGGTTAGTACACTTACATTAGATTGTTAAAGATAATAATTACACACAGGACGGTGAAAGAAATTGGACAAATCATTATATATCAATTAACTTTAGTATAAAGTCCATTTCTTTCTTTGCTGATAAAGACCCCTACGCGCAAGCGACTTATTGAAATCAAATTGAACCATGTGTTAGACCCGAATTGACCTAGTTTGTGTTGATTGGAGGTTAAACTGAGGTATGGTGTTATAACCTGTATTTAAATGATGAACTGTATTTATATTTTACTAGAATCTGATGAAGAAATTGACAGGGCTCGAGGAATAGGTGAAGTTCAAAGTTCATCTGAAGAAGAATTTGAATTTGATGCTGGTAAGTATAATAAAAATCTTAACGGTTTCCTCCCACTGCTAATGGTCTCCTACGCGCAAGCGAATTATTGAAATAAAATTGAACCATGTGTTAGTCCCGAAATGATCTAGTGTGTTTGAGTGTATGTTAAACCCAATGTTTTTATATTACAGATGATGGTTTTGATCATAATTGGAATGAAATGGATAAAGATATACCTGAGGTTAAAGATACGACTAATCGACTAGCTGTTTGTAATTTAGACTGGGATAGGGTTAAAGCTGATGATATTTATATGATGTTTAATTCTTTTAAACCTAGCAACGGCTATATACAATCTGTTACAGTAAGTTATTTAAACCTAGCAACGGCTATATACAATCTGTTACAGTAATTTATATACAATCTGTTACAGTAAGTTATTTACAATCTGTTACAGTAAGTTATATACAATCTGTTACAGTAAGTTATTTACGATCTGTTACAGTAAGTTATTTACTATCTGTTACAGTAAGTTATTTACAATCTGTTACAGTAAGTTATTTAAAAGACAATATTGGTGTCAGTCATTATCACATATGTGATAGAACTGGTTAAACACGTTCCAAATATAATTTTAACACAAGAGATCATTGCTATGATAGATGCGTAATGAAGATTTCAAGAAACGGAAGTGACGAAATCAAAAGGAAAACATAAGTCATCCTTCTATATAACTGACACAGGTGATGAGTGATAACAGATACACAGGCGAATTTTTGCTCACTAGCAATACCTTCAAAGATCAAAAGTTGTTATATGAGACTGTGGGAGGATATTTGACAATTCAAAAAAAATAATTGACTGTCACGAGATAAGAGAATATAAAAAAATAGAAAAAGTCTGGGCATTACCATGTTTTTATGAAGTATAGAATGAATAAAAACAAGGGGATGTATGAACTATTTTTATTTTTCTAGGTCAGTCTCATCCTTGAATGGAACAAACTCATCTTGTAACATAGATGTCCAACCTCGTGTGTTTTCTCCGGGTCCTCCAGTTTCCTCCCACTGCTAAAGATCCCTACGCACAAGCAAATTATTGAAATAAAATTAAACTATACGTTAGTCCCAAAATGACCTAGTTTGTGTCAAGTGGACGTTAAATCCCATTTCTCTCTCTCTCTCTCTGTAACATAGATAGGAATAAGCAGATTGTTCTCCCTCTAGTAGACTAGCTGAAGCCCAACCATGCAATAACTAGACATTTTCAATGTTATTGCACACTTTTGCTTGTTTATGCCAGTTTTAGTAGAAATCATATAGAGAAGTGGGATGAATTTTCTGTGCAATAACAACAAGCATGTTGGATATGTTTTGCCCTAGAAATATTCAATAAAATAGATGTAAATTGTCTGTTGTAGATTTATCCATCTGAATTTGGTTTAGAGAGAATGAAAGAAGAGGAGTTTCAGGGACCTAAAGAATTAACAGAAAAACCTGATGATGATATAGATCAAACAACAGATGAAGCTCAAGAAGGTATTTTATATTTAAACATACATTATGCAAGAGCTAAATCTGCCTATTGTAGGTCTTTCTTTAGGCCTGAAATGTTATATAAACTATTAATTACACATTAACAAAACAAGACCATAATCGACTTTCAATGGCAGCGGATACTCAAGATTTTAACTAGATTAAAACGGTTCGCCATTTTAAAATTTAATTTAAAAATGGGAAAGCGAGGCTAAATCTTGATTATACCAGTGCCTTGGTTACGACTGTGCACACATCTTGTCAAAACTACAAAGAGTGATAACTTGGCTGAGATGGAAGTAATTTGAATGAAATTTTCAATATTTTCATTTTTCATCATCTATTTTTGAATTATTATAGCAAGAATGACCAACTCTTTATTAAACACTTAACTAATGTATCATTAAGGCCAGACAAAGTCGCCAAAACTTCTTGTCCTCCAAAAACATACATGGTCCGTCTGTCTGCTTGGTTCTCCTTGACGCTTCTGGTTCTCCCAAGAAATATAAAGCTAGAGGATATTTCTGACAATGGGGACTTCACAATTTTAATTTCACATACGTCTCTTTATTAATTCAGAAATTCAGAATTAGATATCTTTCTAAAATAATTATTTACCTTAATTACAGTATACTAAGTTCACAATATGATTAATTTTAAAGATCAGTAAAAAATCGGTGTTACTTAAATTGATGATTGTCCACAGCCAATTATGAGTGTGAATAAAGTTGGGTATTTGATATTTGAGTCTAGTGTTAACTTCTGATTTAAAAACGGAAACATCTAAAAGCATAAACATTTAGTAATCCATGAATTTTTTGAAGGGGGCTCAGAAACATAATTATTTTTAGAACCGGGTTGAAAGTTTTATGTTGGCTTGCTTCGTTGCGCTCTTTGTTCACTTATCTATAAATTTTTTTATTTGACCAGGTGATCGATTTCATAGAGAGAAGTTACGACAATATCAGATTAATCGTTTAAAGTATTATTATGCTGTTGTTGTCTGTGATTCTGTTGCCACGGCTACTAAATTATATGATGATTGTGATGGAATAGAATTTGAAACAAGTTGTACGAAAGTTGACATCAGGTATAAATGATTATATTTGTTTGATTTCCAGGTGTCGGGGGGAGGGGTCACAATGGCTAAGTGGGTAAGACGCTGGCTCGCTAGCCTGGAGGTTGGGTGTTTTGATCCCTGCATTGGCCGAGACAGTTCATCGGGATTTTCCGGCGTGCCCCCCCCCCCCCTGTCAGTGATGCAGGATGGAGGGGCTGACAAGGACAGCCGTCTAGTCGTTCAGATGGCGTGCATGTAAAAGATCCCTTGACAGTTGGAATTCGATATAAGAGTAGACCATAGTACCGCTGTCCGGGCAAAATTTCCCTCATAGCACACTGTATGGCGTATGCCCCATCTTCATTAGCCCAGTCGGAGCAGAACAGTAGGACATTAAACACCATTTCATTTTTTCAACTGGCACTGCTCCAAGGATTCTTCTAACCATTACTACTTTAGTAAGAAGTTTATTTGTCGCAGTCTTGGAATAATTAAATGACCATGAATTGATACTTTATAAGTAGAACTCTAAAATAATTAATATTTGCGTAATATAATATTTGATAGGTTTATTCCTGATGGTATGACCTTTGACCAGGAAGTGAAAAGTGTGTGTACAGGAGTTGAAAAATACAGACCTAATTATTTTGCTAACTCTGCACTTGGTAGAAGTTCGGTAAGTTGATTAAGTAATATAAGAAAACTTTGCATGTGTGAAATGAAGGGGAAATATGCAAACCATGGCTGTTTGTACGTGACAAGGAGTAGGGTCCCTGCCTAACTTTGTTATCTTTCTCCAGGTCCTCTGGTTTCATCATACGTGCATGAATTATTAAAATAAAATTAAACCATATGTTAGTCCCATAATGACCTCATTTGTGTTGAGTGGATGTTAAACCCAAGGTCAAGTGTACGTAAAAGAACCCTTGGCAGTTGGAATTTGATTTAAGAGTAGACTGTAGCACAACTGTCAGGGCAAAATGACATTTTATGTCTGTATGTCATACATGTACATCAATTGGTGCAGAAAAGTTGGACATTAAACCCTATTTCATTACATTTCATTTCATTCCTCTTGTTTATTTAAATGTGAGTGGGGCTGGGTGGCCGAATGGTTTGCCATCTGTTTTTGAGTTCAGTGGCGTAGTTTCTCATCATGTACATGAAAGGAGTAGGGTCGTTTGTCCTCACATAGCCAAAGACACCTATGCCCAACTAAATTATTGAAATAATATTGAACCATATGTTAGTCCCAAAATGACCTGGTTTATGTCGAGTGTCCATTAAACCCCATTTCATTCCATTTCTATCATTTAATTAAATATGATTTTATTTGTAGGTGAAGTTAACATGGGATGATAATGACCACGACAGACTACGTGTGACCATGAGTAAAATAGACCCCAAAAAACTAGACACAATGGAGAAAGATTATGAAGCTTATATCGCTTCAAGCTCCGATGATGAAGGTAGGATTTCATATTATTTGGAGGTTGCCGTGTCCGAGGGATAGGGCCCTGGACTCACTACCAGACTGTCTCAGATTCAGTAGAACCTTTGGGGTTTATCAAGCCTGGTTGTCACCTGGGGGGTTGGATGGCTGAATGGTTAGCGTGCGCGCGCTGTATCATAAAGTCTGTCATTGAGTCAACTGGCGTGGTTTCGAATCCCCGGTTGTACGTGACAAGGATTAGGGTCGCCTGTCCAACCTCGTGGGTTTCTCCGGGTCCTCCGGTTTCCCCCCACTGCTAAAGACCCCTATACGCAAGCGAATTATTGAAATAAAATTAAACCATATGTTAGTCCCGAAATGACCTAGTTTGTGTCGAGTGGACGTTAAACCCCATTTCTCTCTCTCTCTCTCTGGTTGTCACCTCTTACAAATGGCATATATGCTGGCAGAGAATATGTGAATAGTTGTTTGGATTGGATGAAAAATGGAGGTGTAACCATACACAGGCAAATGAAAAGTAACATATCTCAGTTTTAAAATGACCAAAGTATTGTGTCAAGGAGAAGTTGGACCCCATTCCATTTCTAATATTATTTGGCACTAATTCAATCATATGACATTCAAGATGGTTGCCTGGAGATATTGAACAAAGTGTTTTCGGTACTAATTGACATAGATTTAATTGACAAACTTTAATTCTTTTTTTTTAAATTTGATTTTTAGGCCCAAAACTGCCAGGTTCTGATAGTTCTGACTCTAATAGTGATAGTGAACAAGATGAAAGTCGCATAGCCAAATACAGACAATTAGTACAGGAATTAGATGATAAAAAGACCAAGAAAGACGAGGATGTAGAAATGGAGATAACATGGGAACCAGGTAAGATAGAATTATTCCATTGGGAACTGGGTAAGTTAGAACCAGTGCGAACTGGGTATGGTAGAGTCATTGGGAACCGGGTAAGATAGAGCCATTGGGATATGGGTAAGATAGAGCCATTGGGAACCAGGTAAAATAGAACCATTGGGGAACTGGGTAAGATAGAACCATTTGTAATCAGGTGTGATGGAACCACTGGGAATCGGGTAAGATAGAACCATTGGGAACTAGGTAAGATAGAACCATTTGTAACCGGGTGTGATGGAACCACTGGGAACCGGGTAAGATAGAACCATTGGGATCCGGGTAAGATAGAACCATTGGGATCCGGGTAAGATAGAACCATTGGGAACTGGGTAAGATAGAACCATTTGTAACCGGGTGTGATGGAACCACTAGGAATCAGGTAAGATAGAACCATTGGGATCCGGGTAAGATAGATCCATTGGGAATCGGGTAAGATAGAACCATTGGGAACTGGGTAAGATATACTAGACTCATTCCAAGTAATATTTGATCAGGGTAAATATGCATGAGTCAAACAGCGTACAGGGACTAGGCCTATATGTCCAACCTTGTGGGTTTTCTCAGGGTCGTCCATTTTCCTACCCCTGTTAAAGATGCCTACGCGCAAGCAAATTATTGAAATAAAATTGAACCATATGTTGGTCCCGAAAAGATCTAGTTTTGTGTTGGGTGAATGTTAAACCTCATCTCTCTCTCACTGTGCTGATTTCTAAAATCTATGTTTTCTTCCATCAGGTTTAAAAGGTACGACAGAAGCGTTAGTAAAACAATCTGTAGACGCAGAGAAGACGGTGACACCATGGCAGAATTTCTTACAGAAGAAAAAAGATAAAAAGAAACAGAGAAATAAAGATCGGAAAGCAGCGAGAGAAAAAGCAAAGATTGTAAGAATATTTATTAATGCATTTAGATTACATACTCTTCATAAACGGTGTTGCCCTCCAGGCTTACTTCCTCACCACCCTCTTCTTAGTGACACTTTGGAAGATTCCTGCTAATTTCAGTGTTTTCTGGGGATATCATTTAGCAGCAGTAATAATATCATTTGTTTTTGTTGCCTGTCCAACCTTGTGGGTTTTCTCTGGGTCCTCCGGTTTCCTCCCACTGCTAAAGACTCCAACGCACAAGCGAATGGTTGACATGTGCACGGCATATCAAGGTCTGTCATTGAGTCAACTGGCGTGGTTTCGATTCCCCAGTTGTATGTGTCAAGGAGTAGGGTTGCCTGTCCAACCTCGTGGGTTTTCTCTAGGTCCTCAGGTTTCCTCACACTGCTAAAGACCCCTACACGCAAGCGAATTGTTGAAATAAAATTGAACCATGTGTTAGTCCCGTAATGACCTAGTATGAGTCGAGTGGTTGTTAAACCTCATTTCTCTCTCTCTCTCTTGGTTGCTGGGCAAACTAATATTATATCAAGAATAAATAATTTTAAACCTATTCCAGGAATGTGGTGATATACCAGAAGAAAAGGCAGCATTTAGTGATGATGAATTACCTGAAGGGGTGGATATTAATGATCCTTATTTTAAAACAGAAAATAAAGGTAAAAATCATGTTTTAATACTAGCTGTCATTTTATGCCATTATTCCACACCAAACAAAGTTATGTTTTAATTTGTCTGGCTGACATTCTGTTGACAGTGCGATTCTGAAAAACATGGTGGCAGTAGATTGTCTTTGAACTCTGTATATTTCACTATAAGCAGGTAGCATAATGCCTGATACTATTTCCAAGAAAGATGGTGACTGTTATAATGGGTTTGTCTGTCTGTCTGTCCGTCCGTCCGTCACACTTTTTGGGACACATTTACTCTCCTTCTAATTGAGCTAGAATGTTCAAACTTGGTGTAGGTGTTGAATAGGTCAATGCCTTGATGGTGTTTTCGAAGATGAGCATTTTCTGCTTAGGTTAAGCAGAGATGAGCAATTTGATTGGTTGATGCTTTGTTACATCTTATAACATGTACCCTACTAATATTGGTTGTTCAATACCAGTTGTAGGGTTGGTGGCCAAATGGTTTAACATCTTAAAGGACAATATTGGTATCAATCACTATCACATATGTGATAGATTTGGTTAAACACGTTCCATATATAATTTTAACAAATAGATCATTTCTACGAAAGATGTGTAATGAAAATTTTAAGAAACGAAAGTGACGAAAGGAAAACACGAGTTATCCTTCTATATAACTAACTGAAGTGACGAGTGATAACAGATACACAGGCGAATTTCTGCTCACTAATAATTCCTTCAAAGACCAAAAGTTGTTATTACCAATCATAAATATACATTATTATTAATGACACAGAGATTGTCTATCTGTGTACCTTCCAATTGTGATTGATGTTGATGTCTCAGTTTTCTTGTATGCTTTTTTAGACATAAAAAAGGAGAAGAAGAAGAAAGGGAAAAAGGAAGAATTAACAGAAGAAGAATTAGAAAAGAAAAAACAGGAGGAGGTTAGTGTCTGTTACAGTAACATTAAGCCTTTAAGGCGGTCTACTATCGGGGGGGGGGCAAATGGTTAGCATGTGTGCGTTGTATCATGAGGTCTGTCATTGAGTCAACTGGCATGGTTTTGATTCCCAGGTTGTACATGACAAGGAGTAGGGTCGCCTGTCCAACCTCGTGGGTTTTCTCCGGGTCCTCAGGTTTCCTCCCACTGCTAAAGACACCTACGCGCAAGCAAATTATTGAAATAAAATTAAACCATGTGTTAGTCCCGAAATGACCTAGTTGTGTCAGTGGACTAAACCGCATCTCTCTCTCTCTCTCACACTGCATGGTGTATGGGGAGCCACTGTGGCTAAGACATGGGCTCGCTAACCTGGAAGTTCCGTCTATGACCCCAGTGTTGGCTGAGAAAGGTCCTTGGGATTTTACAGCATGGTTCCCCCTTGTCAGTGGTGTAGAACGGAGGGCCTGGTGGCAAAAATGAGGTTGTGTGTACACATTGGCATACACGTAAAAGATCCCTTGACAGTTGGAATTTGAAATAAAAGTAGGTCGGGGTTATTTCCCGCATAGCACACTGTATGGTGTATGTCCATTTTCATTAGCCCAGTCGGTGCAGAAAAGTAGGACGTTAAACCCCATTCTATTCATTCATTTCACATGACAATTGTTTATTTCCTGTAAATATATTTTCAGGCCAAACTAAAACTGTTAATGATGGATGATGAAGACCAACGACATCACTTCAGTTTAGAAAAATTACTCAAAGATGCGAAGAAGAAAAAGAAGAAGAAAAATAAAAAGAAGAATTTAGACGATGAGGAAGTGAATGAAAAGACGGATAATTTTCAGGTACATTTAAACTTGGTCAACAATGAAATATTGTGACTTTTGTTAAAGGGGCATTATGTAAGATTAGATATAGAGCTGAAAGTTCTCACTATTATAGTTAAAAACTAAGATAATGTAAAGGGAATATGCTAAAAGTTTCAGTCAAATTGCTCCACTCTGAACCGAGATATTATCGATTGAATTTTAGGCCTAGCCTTGATCATCATTACTAGAGTCGTGCGATAAAAAAAAAACATAGTCTCGATTATCCATATTTGCCTTTAATCATCAATGAGCGTTGAGCAGCAGATCGGGTTCAAATCCAGTGAAAATCGAACACATGAGATGGCATCGAGAGTTGATTAAAGTCTTTTCATGTTAATAAATGTCTAATTAATAGTTTATATAACATCTCAGGCCTAAAGAAAGACGTGCAATAGGCAGATTTAACTCTTGCATAATGTATGTTTGTGCCTATTTCTTTAGGCTTCAAATGTGTAGGATAAAACATGAGACTGAGGCTATGCATTGGGAAAGAAAGACTGAAGAAATTAACCTGAGAAAAAGAAAAATTTCAATATTTAGGAGAGCGATTTAGCTAATTTGCAGGTGTCTTTAATGACTCCCGCGAAGGAAAGTCAAGGTGTGTTAATAGGAGCAGGAGCGAAAACTCGCCTTAAACGTGAAAGGCCTGTATAATCAATACAAGATTGTATAAAATTTTGCTGTTTTTGCTTGAAATCGTCAGAAAACAAGAATTGATGATATCTCTAATTTAATTAACAGGTTGATGTTTCTGATCCCAGATTTTCGGCCATGTTTGATTCACATCTTTTTAACGTTGATCCGTCGGCACCCGAATTCAAGAAAACAAAAGGATCAGAAGTTTTTATCAGTGAGAAACAAAAACGTAGACAAAAAGAAGGATATTCAAAGGTTTCACGAAAGCGAAAAGCAGAAAGTGACGACTTATTGACTTTAAATGAATCTTCAACACCCAAAGAGTCGCTTTCCACACTTGTGAACTCAGTGAAAGCAAAAACTCAAAAATTTCAAGAGAAAAAGAAAAAAGGATCTTGATAGCTGTACTAGTCATTATAAAATCTTTGTTGATTGTAAATACAGAAAATAAATATAATTTACTTTAAAACCGTTTTACTTGGTGGATACAGAATAGAATGTGGCGGGGTGGGGGGTCATGTCTCCTCCACACAAGACAAACATATGGCCATTTTGATTGCCATGGTTACCCGTGCAATACATGCACGCCATAGTTTACACGAAAGGACTTTTTTTTTTTTTATCCCTTCCAACTGACTTTCCTTGTCAGCCTCGTAACGGCCTCGGACACACAATGGCCAGGTTGTGTACAGATCATCATTTGACTTCCAATCTCATTAGGACAGATAGAACAAGAGATTATTGTCCAGAGAGATGGGGGTTTAACGTCCACTCGACACAAACTATGTCAATTCGGGACTAACATGATACAATTCGCTTTTGTGTAGAAGTCTTCAGCAGTGGGAGGACACAGAGGGAACCCATGTGCTCTTTATCACGTACAAGCTTGCTATCGAAGCCACGCCACTTGACTCCATAAAATAACTTCTGATCTAAACCACATTACCCCCTTGCAACCTGTCACTTGCATATTTCACATTGATATGTCTGGTGTGTTTGTCTTTATAGAGGGTGGGGGGGGTGAGTGGACGAATGGTTAATGCGTGTGCGTTGCATTATAAAATCAGTGATTGAGTCAATGGCGTGGTTTCCATTCCCCAATTAGATTGGGTTTCTCCGGGTCTGCCGGTTTCCTCCCACTGCTAAAGACCCTATGCGCAAGCGAATTATTGAAATAAAAGTGAGATGATGTACCCAATCTAATTGTATAATTGTGTAAGTTGTATAATAACGTTATAAGGGAAACAACTCTTTTCAACCTCAAAAAAGCCACCAGGTCTAAGACTAGTACAGTGGTTCTCAACCTTTTTTGCCAACGGCACACTTTGGAAAAGATGAAAAAATAGCAGCACACCTGGCTAAATATATATGAAAAATATTTGAATTTTGCAAAATAAAAACATGGTAAGTCAGACGACATACAACCGTAGACAGAGACTAGTCATAGACACATAGAAAGACTTAAACTAAATAAAGAAAAACACAGCTATGAATACTCAATTGGGATCACAGGGTTTTTCTTGGTGTGCTCAAAATTTAGCGGCACACTTAAGAGGATCTCAGGTGTGCCGTGGCACATTGGTTGAGAATCCCTGGATAAGTAATTAGTTGGTCTATTTATATCAATTCTCCCCTTTCCCCCTTTGGAATATATATGCCTACTGATAGCAATATTGGTTGACTGACTGTATTTCCCAAATTGTAGAAAAGTGTTTGAATTTACAGTTTCTGCTAGGTTTTGATGAATATTCATGATATTATGAATATTCATGATTTGATGGTTGAAAGATCAGGAAGTAAAAAAAAAATGAATTAGGTAAATCACCCATGTGATGATCACTGCCTATAGATTCATTAAACCAGGCAAAGGTAAAAAAATCTCTGGTGATTGCGACAGGTTTGGCTATTTGTGGTCATAAAGATTAAGATCATTGGAATGTTAAAAAAAAAATAAAATATTCCAAGAAATTTCATGGATTTAACAATTAAGTCAATGGAGAGAGAATAATTTAAGTCATTGCAAACATAGTTGTCTGGGATTATTTTCCAAGCTTTGCAGATATCCAAAAATAATTTAAGGGAGAATAATAGTTTGTGTGTCAAGGGAGGCAACTCATTTGTGGCTCTTGAGGAAAGAGGGAAAAAACATAGCTTTACAATGTGATCGTCACGTGACAAAAACATTCAAAATGGCGCTACTCATAAAAGAAAATTTTCATTCAGTTTCACATACAATTCGTTCTCTTTTATCAAAGAACAACGCTATTATTCTCTCATGTATCGGAACAGGTAGAACAGAAAAACATCGAATTTATGTAGTTTTATATTTGTATCGATATCCCCCCCCCACCCATAAATACTCTGCTGAATAATATCAAACAATCAATCAAATGAATCCAGGAAGAAAAAAAATATCTGATCATGGACCCTCTGCCTCTAATAAATCTCATATCATTTTCCAAAATTACTCATGATATAATTATATAGATAATCACATTTGTTTGAAACAAATCATATCGGATAACAATGATGGCCTAACTGACATTTTATAGGCCTATATATATTTGACCAATTGAATATTACCCGGTATATAGGCCCAGGCCTACAATTATGTTTCAATTCTGCTCCTATACTGGGCTAATGAAAATGGATATATGTCATACAGTGTGCTATGAGGGAAATTATGCCTGGGCAGCAGCACTATAGGGATCTTTAACATGCACTCTAGTGTAAACACTGCACCTCGGTTTTTCATCCCATCCAAACGACTAGACAGCTGTCCTTGCTAGGCCCTCTGTCCTGTACCACTGACAAGGGGAAACCACACTGGAAAATTCGGATGAAGAAATTGGAAGAACAATTATTTATATTCTCACATTTTATATAGGACTAGATTCTAGTCATGTTATGGATAGTTCACTTCGGCTATAATGGATGAGCTAAATCCCATCAACATTTAGGAGCGCACATTAATTTTTGCAGAGTTATTGCCCCTGTCACTAAAACTGTGAAGCACTCAACAGATAAGAGCTTTTAAGATTTGTTTGGCTAGTCAAAAAGAGAAAGGGGAGGGGGGGGGGGGGGGTAATGTCTATGCAACACAAACCAGGTCATTTTTGGAGTAACATATGGTTCAATTTTATTTCAATATTTCACTAGCGCATAGGGGTCTTTAGAAGTGGGAGGAAATCCCACGAGGTTGGACAGGGGACCCTACTCCTTGTCACGTACAATCGAAGAATCAAAATCACGCCAGTTGACTCAATGACAGTCCTTATAATACAACGCGCATGCGCTAACCATTCAGCCAATCCCCCCCCCCCCTTCCCGGCTAGTCATAAAGAGTAATATCCTATTGGAATTCTGCATTGCCCAGCCATCTATTGTATGCATAGTTATATTGCCCTTGAAACAAACTCATGATTAACCACCCTTCAAAATGCTGCTTTTGGGAGGGAGGGGGAATCTGTTGCCTTTTTGTATTTCATAGGAGTAGCAGTAGTAATTTTGTTGCCTGGCAATGCTGTGTTTGTAATTTTTAGGAGTAGGGTTTGGATTATTGAGATGATGTGTATAAATTTGTTGCCTGGCAATGCTGTGTTTGTATTTTTAGGAGTAGGTTTTGGATTATTAAGGTGGTATTTTTCTGGTGCTAAATGTCGATGTACAAAACAGCTAACAGGTAAAACAGTTATAGTCACTGGTTCCAACAAAGGTATAGGACGAGAAACAGCCAGAGATTTCGCAAAGAGAGGTCAGTAAAAACAGCATTTAAATCATTCACAATTGTTATGCCGAGGTCAGTGGTAATTTTTGCGATACATTAAAGATGTGTTATGGGAGATTAGATAAAGAACTGGCAGTTCTCACTGTAATAGTTAAAAACTAGATAATGTAAAGGGAATTTGCTGAAAATTTCAGTCAAATTGATCCATTCTGATCCGAGATTTTAGCGATTGAATTTGGGGTCTAGCCTCGATCATCATTACTAAAGTCGGTATGATAAAAACATAGTCTCGATTATCCATTTTTTGATTTAATTATCAATGAGTGTTAAGCAGCAGATAGGATTCTAATTAAATCCAGTAAATATCGCAGTCTAGCGATGACATCGAGAGTGGATTATGGTCTGGATAAGTTATTTAATGTCTAATTAATAATTTAGATAACATTTAAGGCCTAAAGAAATTGGCAGATTTAGCTCTTGCATAATGTATGTTTAAACAACATTTCTGGCCTAAAGAAAGACCCGCAATAGGCAGATTTAGCTCTTACATAATGTATGTTTAAACAACATTTCGGGCCTAAAGAAAGACATGCAATGGGCAGATTTAGCTCTTGTGTAATGTATGTTTAATAAAACAAACTGAAATTAGGTGTATGGGATCTTTACTACATATTTACATCATAAAGATAATATCATAGACTTGTATATCCAGTTGAGGGAGCTGTTCATCCCTGGCTAGTTACCTTATTATATCATAGACTTGTCTAACCAGTATCTAATTTCATGGGAGGTATCAGATCTTTGCGCGGACAGCGGCATTTCCAACGTTCAATGGTTCTTTTACGTGCACGTCAGTTTGTACACAGATAGACCCCCGTTTTACATGTTCCGAAAGACTAGATACACAGACGCCACCCCTTACCAGTGAAGTCCAAACTGGAATAATTCTGAAGGTTTTTCTTGATTCAAGCCCTTGCCAGGATTTAGTTCAAACCTTGGATGTTCTAGTCTAGAGGTAAGAGTCTTGACCACTCAACCATAGCCCCCGATTCTACATCGGTTCACACAGGCACCACCCTTAACAAATCCTCAAGCCTTGGATTCAAACCCTGAACGTTCTTGTCAAGAGGTCAATTTCTTGATCGCTCGACCACAGCCCCCCATTCTAATCTCTTCTGAATTACTAGGCTCACTTTCCTTATCAGTCAAACAGGTGCCACCCTGTACAAGTGAAGTCCAAGCTAAAAAAAAATCCTGAAGGGTTTTCTCAATAGTTAGCAACATGTTTATTTTCGTTAATGTGAAAGCCTTCTTTTAACTGTGTGGAAGATGACTGACCTTAAAAGGGACAATAACACTCTTGCTGGCTTGACAGTTCCAGAAAATAAAAAATAGCCTTATTCTAAGTACTAGATGTGTTAGTGTCCTACCTGTTGTGTAAATTATCCATTAAATCCTATTTTACTTGTCCAGAGGGTTCAAAAATATTTTTAAATCCAAGTCATATTTGAAAAGCTTTACGTCAGGCTTTTCAAATCATTTAGTTGAATTTTTCCAATTTTTTAAATTAGGTGTGTTAAGATGAAATTTGTATCATCAATTAATTGGAATATTGTAAAATAGTGCAATTTGTTGACCAGAATAAAGATTGGGACATATTATTCAGTTACAACAAGAGTGGTATTGAGCCTTTAAGTTCACGAGCATATATGTCATTCGTACCACCTCAATACCACATGCGTTGTTGACATTGGACGTAGTAACATAAACAAACTGATCATAATTTAAAAAATTGTTTTAGAATTTAATTTGCAAAAGAAAAATAGTTAATATTAAGAGCTAATTAACCCACCCCGATGTCATCCCTGTCAGTGCCAGTGCCTCAGTGGTAGTAGTGATCAAGCGAATATTGTGAGCTAATTAACTCACCCCAATGTCATCCCTGTCAGTGGTAGTAGTGATCAAAAGAATATTGTAAGCTAATTAACTGGCCCCAATGTCATCCCTGTCAGTGATAGTAGTGGCCAAGCGAATATTGTGAGCTAATTAACTGGCCCCAATGTTATCCCTTTCAGTGATAGTAGAGGTCAAACGAATATTTACTGCTAATTAGTTTGGTTTATTTTCTGCAGGAGCCCGAGTTATTCTGGCTGTAAGAGATATAACTAAAGGTGAAAGGGCAGCAGAAGACATCAGACAATCGACGGGCAATAATAACGTTATTGTTAGAATAGTAGATCTATCTTCCCTTGAATCTGTCCGTAAATTTTGTCGACATATATTAGAGAAAGAAGAAAGACTGGATATTCTAGTAAATAATGCTGGTAAGTAATATTTTAGAGAAAGAAGAAAGACTGGATATTCTAGTAAATAATGATATATTAGATAGTAGAATAGATTGAGGGAAATATTGTACAATTGTTTGGTGGTTTTCAAGAGAATTTTGTTCAAGTATTATCATGTTTAAGGTTATTTTCAAAATGAAATGGGGTTTAACATCCTACTGTTCTGCCCCTAAACTTGGCGTATGAAGACGGACGTATGCCATACAGTGTGCTATATGAGGTAAATGGCCTACTCTTATATCAAATTCCAAGGGATCTTTTATGTGCATGCCAGTGTATTCACAGGATCTTGTTTTTTCGTGTCATCCGAACGACTAGACAACTGTCATTGTCAGGACCTCCGCCCTGCATCACTGACAAGGGGAAACCACGTTGGAAAATCCTGATGAACATTCACGGTGAATGCAGGGATCGAACACCAGACCTCCAGACTAGAGAGCCAGCGTCTCACCCACTTACCGGCGTGGTTCCCCCTTGTCAGTGATGCAGGACGGAGGGCCTGACAAGGATAGCTGTCTAGTCCTTCGGATCAGACGAAAAACCGAGGTCCCGTGTATACATTGGAATGCACGTAAAAGATCCCTTGGCAGTTGGAATTCGATATAAGAGTAGGCCGTAGTGCCGCTGTCCGGGCAAAATTTCCCTCATAGCACACTGTATGGCGTATGCCCGTCTTCATTAGTCCAGGTTAGGAGCAGAACAGTAGGACGTTAAACTCCATTTCATTTCATTTCATTTCTCACCCACTTAGCCACTGTGGCTCCCTATTTTTCAATATGATGTTTAAAATTATATTTATTTTCTTGTCACTGAGTAAACGGTAACTTTTGTCACTTTGTTTTATTTGTTTATTTTCAGGAGTACGATTCTGCCCTCATTGGACGTCTCAAGAAGGTTATGAACTTCATTTCGCTGTCAATCATCTTGGTCATTTTCTCTTGACCAATCTACTTGTTAATTTAATGAAGAAATCGGCACCAAGTCGTATTATATGTGTTACATGTATGGCTTACGAAGGTTAGATTTAAATCAAAATTTTGTTACAGAATCCTTTTTTATAGAATTGTTATGATGAGATTAATGAAGACCTGCTATAAGGGAAGTTTTGCCTGGACAGCAGTGCTACAATTTATTCTTATTTCCAACTGTCAGCGGATCTTGAACAGAACCAATCTGATTAAAATACAGATCTATATTTCTTTTCTTTTTTTTATACTTTCTATGACCTAAACTATGTGAAGATCTGACCATTCGTACAAGCGGCTTTTGACCCTATGACGTCAGACATTGATTAATCAATCAGCGTTGATGTTTCTAGTGGTTCACCCACAGTTCTATGCATCACACACCAAAACGTCGCGGTAACAGATGGTTTCATTGGCTAACCCCTCACGTCATCCAGAACGCGGATTATATAGCAACTCTTCCAGATCCCAGTGTTGTGAAGAGAAGTAAAACGAAATTTTGAACTATAAAAAAAACGAAACAAAATAGGATCTGTGTTTTAATCAGATTGTAACAGAACCTCAGTTTTTCATCAAATGACTACACACTTTAACAGAACCTCAGTTTTTCATACCATCCAAAGGACTACACACTTTTCCTTGCCAGGCCCACTGACAATGGAAAACCAGACTGGAAAATCTTCAATCGATTAGTAAGCAAGTGCCAAAATCACAGAGCCTTAAAGAGAGGGAGAGAAATGGGGTTTAACTAGGTCATTTTGGGACTAACACATGGTTCAATTTTATTGCAATAATTCGCTTGCACGTAGGGGTCTTTAGAATCGAAGCCCCGCCAGTTGACTCAATGACAGACCGTATGATACAACGCGCACGTGCTAACCATTCGGCTATCCACCCCCAACAGAGCCTTAAGAAATCAACAAATCATAAATGACTATCATAGAATTGATTTTTTTTTTTTTTTTCAGAAGGATCAATTAATTTTGATGATCTGAATTCTCAGAGATCCTATGACCCATGGACAGCCTACACACAGAGTAAATTAGCCAATATATTGTTCAGTCAAGAACTAAGTAACAGACTGACAGGTAAGTTAAGAATAAATAATCCAATAGATTTCAGCCATTTGATCACTATTCCTTAGAATGAGGGGGGGGGGGGGGTAGGTGGCGCTTTAGATCATAAGGTCATTGAGTCAAGTGGCATTGAGTCATTGTTTTGATACCACACTGGTTTTGTGTGTTTTGTTTTTGCATTCATAAAAAAAACCTTGAGTAAACTGGCTTTAGGTCAAGTGGCATTGAGTCAAATGACATTGTTTTGATACCATATTGGTATGTGACAAGGTGTAAGGAGGGAGGTTGGGGGGGGGGGGGGGGAGGGGGGCAGTGAGAAAGAGGGAGAGAAATGGGGTATAACATCCACTTAACACAAACCAGGTCATTTCGGGAATAACATATGGTTCAGTTTTATTTATAATTTGCTTGCACATAGGGGGCTTTAGCAGTGGAAGGAAACCGGAGGACTGGAGAAAACCCACAAGGTTGGACAGAGGAATCGAAACCATGCCAGTTGATTCAATGCCAGACCTTATGATACAACGTACACGGCGCTAAACATTCGGCCACCCAACCCCCCAAGGTGTAAGGACTTCTGTCCAATCCCATGGGTTTTCTCTGGGTCCTCCGACTGAAAGACCCTCATGCGCAAGTGAATTATTGAAATAAAATTGATCTGTGTGTTAGTACCGAAATGACTAAATATAAGAGGAGGAGCATTTTGCCTGACAGTAGCATTTTAGCCTACTCTTCGTTAAGTTCCATTGTGCACAGCAGCACAGGGGTAGGCCTTGTATTTTCATCCAAACCGGGTTGGAGGTGGGGGTCTAGTGGTTTAACGCGTGCGCATGAAATCACAAGGTCCTTTATTGAGTCAAGTGACGTGGTTTCGATTCCCCACTTGAAAGTGACAATAGTAGGGTCGCTTGTCTAACCTCGTGGAGTTCCTCCGGTTTTCTCCCACTGCTGAAGACATTTACGCGCAAACAAATTATTGAAATAAAATTAAACCATGTGATAGTCCCAAAATGACCTAGCCCCTTTCGCTCTCTCTCTCTCTATCTCTTAGTTTTTCAGAAAATCCAAAGGACTAGGCACCTTCGCCTTGTTTGCCCACACTAGGTTCTGAACCAGGGACAATTTGGTTAAGAGACCAGTTCCCTACTGCTTGACTATAAATAAATTATTGGAGTGATCATTCTAAACATTCCATTTATTTAATCGTTGGAATTCGATATAAGAGAAGGCCATAGTGCCGCTGCCCGGGACAAATTTCCCTCATAGCACACTGTATGCCCGTCTTTATTAGCCAAGTCAGAGCAGAACAGTAGGACATTAAACCCTATTTCATTTATCTGCATTGTTTGCAATTCCATTCATTTTAGGAAGTGGTGTGACAGTTAATTCAGTTCATCCAGGAATTGTCCAATCAGAATTAGGTCGTTATACAGGTGATAATAAACCAGCGTTGTGGAGACGATTATTGATAAAGATCGTAGGATTTATTATCATGAAGACGCCGCAACAGGGAGCTCAGACGTCCATATACTGTGCCGTTTCTGATAAAATTGAAAATGTCAGTGGGAAATATTTCAGGTAATTTGTTTTATTTTAAAAATATTTTTGAGCTGAAAATATTTTTTTATAGACATATAACTTATTCATTGCAATAAGGCCCCTCCATACTTTAGACAGTATATTCAAAGACACTCTCTGGCTCAACACCAGGATAGTGAGCCAATGCAGTACTTGCTCACAATGTTGCAATCTGTTTCACAGTGGTATTGTAAAATCCTTCTTATACTTCTGTATTAGATGACTTACCTTTATATGTTCAGGGGATCACGTGGCTAAGTGGGTAAGACGCTGGCTTGCTAGCCTGGAGGTCGGGTGTTCGATCCCTGCATTGGCCGAGAAAGTTCATTCAGATTTTCCGGCGTGGTTTCCCTTTGTCAGTGATGCAGGACGGTCGGCCTGACAAGGACAGCTGTCTAGTCGTTCGGATGGGACGAAAAACCAAGATCCCGTGTACACATTGGCGTGCACGTAAAAGATCTCTCACCAGTTGGAATTTGATATAAGAGTAGGCTGTAGCGCCGCTGCCCGGGCAAAATTTCCCTCATAGCACACTGTATGGCGTATGCCCGTCTTAATTAGCCCAGGTTAGGAGCAGGACGCCATCTACAAGTGCCTTCACATCAACAGGGTCCATCGTTGGCTCTATGGCATGTGTATTGGTCCAGGCAGAATGGTGCCTTTCATTCATTTTATATACCCATTTACTCTAAATAGGAAATATTTTTATATGCCCACATTTTCATATGGACGTATAATGCCGTCGCACCTGTCCGTCCGTCTGTCCACTTTTTGTTTGTGGACACTCTTGGTTCCTTTCAATATTGGCTTGGCTTGGATTGTACGAACAATAATGTTTTTAGCTTATGGAAACTCTAGAGGTCACAATTTTCATCCGATTTTGATGAAACTTGAAATACATGTTTATAACCCATCGATCTTGGTTCCTGCGATATTTGCGCATATCGGATAGTAACTTTCTGATTTATGGTCCCTGATTGTACGAAAAATTATATTTTTTAGCTTGTGGATTCTCTAGAGGTCACAATTTTTATCTGATTTTAAAAACAGTTTAAATATATCACCATATATTTGCAACCTAGCAAATATTCACTGCTGATCAGTGTGTCAACTGTCAACTAGCAAATATTCATTGCTGATCAGTGTGGCAGTGTTAATTTGGACATTGGATCCAAACATAGGTGCTATAGTGGAGCCTAGTATGCCATTCTTATATCAGTGAAAATGTTAAATCACTATCTTTTATTTTTGTTATTTTTTATTTTGTTTAGTGATTGTTGTATAAGAGAAACATCATCAGTAGCCAAGGATAAAGTAACCTCGACACAGTTGTGGGATATCAGCTGTAAAAGGGTTAATCTACATCTTCCACCTACATGATATCATCTTCACTAGCCAAAATGTATTCAAGATCTGCCAAGGGTGAACAGAAGCGAATCGTAACCCTTAGCTTGTGAAGATGACATGATATATCCAGAATGAATTCTGACACTCCATGATCAAAACACATTCATTTAGCTGTTTACAAATCAAACCTTTATTAGTGCTATTCAGCTAAAAGCCTGATAGCATTGATTGAACATCATTTGAGGAGAATGTAGTTATTTAAGTGTTAAACGTTCTGTCGTATTTGGGGGGATTGGGTGCCCGATTGGTTAATGCATGTGCGTTGAATCATGAGGTCTGTCTGTCTTTGAGTCGTGTGGTGTGGTTTCGATTCCCTGCTTGTATGTGTCAAGCCTTAGGCACTGGTTTGCCCGTCCAACTTACTGGCTTTACTCCGGGTCCTTCGGTTTCCTCCTAGTGCTAAAGACCCCTACGTGCAAGCAGATTATTGAATAAAATTGAAACATATGTGAGTCCTGAAATGACCTAGTTTGTGTTGAGTGGACATTATACCCCATTTCTCTCTCTCTCTCTCTCTCTCTCTTACAAAAGTGAATGAATGCAATATATTACTGATTAAAGGGCTTCCTCGTCAACATTTGTCAGCTGATCAATTTTTTACATTTGGCTAGTGTGGCTAAAATGGATTAACTAGATCATGAGTCTTTCACTGTGTAGTAGTTAAATGAGTCAGCCTCTTACAATATAATGTGAATATATACAGTAAACTATGCATAGGTCGGATCTAAGTGGACTGACCAATTTTATCCGAGTTAAGCATTAAGCGAAGATCCGAAATTCAGTCTTAGCTCGATTAGAAATAAACTGCAAGAGCCGGATAATAATTGATTCAGAGGCACATTTCAAGCTTTTGTTCGTATGTGTGAGTAGATAACTTCTGCTTTGTCGCCATCTTTGAAAAATGTCCTAAATTTTACTGGAAAGTGTCTCGTACAGCAGACAGTGAGTTTCTAATTTTCCAGGAAAATTCTATTATTGTGTCGCGTCAAATAGGCTGATTTGGGTCAAAATGATAGAGGAAAGTATTTTGGGGATCTGTGCATGGAATACCTAACAGCGTTTTAGACCATCGGGATGAAACTGACAGTGAAATTCTGAACATACGTTGAAATTAGATTTTGATCCAAGTTGAGCGAAGATCCGACTTAGGAAATCCGACTTACATGCACAAATTTAATAAGAAAAATGTGCAGGATCAAAGGGTCCAAATGATTTTATCCGAGTTGAGCAAAGATCCTACTTATACGAATCTTGACTTATGCGAGGTTTACTGTATATACAAAATAAACTGTGTTGTGTTGTATATTTATTTATTGTTATTATTAGTAAGACTCTTGATCCAGTCATTCAGTTTTTGACAATGGATGCTAAAATTGACTGACTGGATCTATAGTCTATTTTTAATAAGGTCTGAGGCCTGAGCCTATCAATTGTTTGTTTACTTCATGAAAATGAGTGGTTAAATATTGCAATATTATTAATATTTACATGTATATATGAAATAAACGAAACTGTGTTGTGTTATTATTTAATGATATATTATGTAAGATTTAGATAAAGAGCCGACCATTCTTGCTAACATAGTTCAAAAATAGATAATGTAAAATGAATATATTGAACATTTCATTCAAATTACTCAATTGCCTGCAAAGATATTAGCCTTTGAAGGTTTAACAAGAAGTGTGCATTAATTGTAACCACCATACTCGTTGTTCTTCGAAAGCTAAGTCTCGCTCCTCCATTTTTAAATTAATTCAAAATATGGCTGAACCATTATGATCTTGGTCATGTTAATAAATGTCTAATTAATAGTTTATACAATATTGCAGGTCTAAAGAAAGACCTGCAATAGGAGATTTAGCTCTTGCATAATGTTTAAATTGTACATTTATTTATTATAACTAATAATAATATTATATTTTTTTGTGATTCAAACATAGAAATGATCTATTGATGTATATTTTACATCATTTATATTAATATTAGTATATTTGTTAATATTTAAAAGATATAGAACTGAATTATTCTATTATTTTTCTTGTTATGTTTACAATATATGTACATTTTATTTATGTGGAATTTTAAAACATATTATATTTGTACAATTTTATTTATATGATTAGTGTTTTTGTCCCTGGCCTTCCAAAGAAAGCAGGGGACTATTAAAATGGGTCCGTCCGTCCATCATACGTTTGATTCTTATTGAGTGAGAGTGGTGACTAAGTTCGATCATGCACATTTTCCACTAAGGTTAAGCAGGGATAAGCAATTTGATCAGTTAGCAGTTTGGAACATGATAGCTTTGGTTCTAATTGGGTGAGAGTGATAAAACTCAAAGAGTATAGATTCATTATATCAATACCTTGACTAAGTTCAGTAGATGAGTATGTTCTGCTTAGGCTAAGTAGTGATACGATATTTGAATGGTCAAAACTTTGGAACATGACAGAGGTCAAATGTATTACAATATAATATATGAACAATGTGACTGATATCATAAATGAAATGAAATGGGGTTTAACGTCCTACTGTTCTGCTCCGACTGGGATAATGAAGACCGGCATACGCCATACAGTGTGCTATACCCGGGCAGCGGCACTACAGCCTACTCATATATCGAATTCCAACTGCCGAGAGATCTTTTACGTGCATGCCAATGTATACACGGGACCTCGGTTTTCCGTTCCATCCAAATGACTAGACAGCTGTCCATGTTAGACCCTCCGTCCTGCACCATTGACAAGGGGAATCCACGTCAGAAAATCCCAAAGGAACTTTCTTGGCCAATGCAGGGATCGAACACGTGACCACCAGGCTAGCATCTTACTCACTTAGTCACTGTGGCTCCTATATATGAACAATATGGCTGATATCATCATAGTTAAATACCAGTAATTATTTTTATTTCTGATGGCCATTTTTCTCTACAGATTATCTGCTCTGGATTCCATGACTCTATGATTTCTGCAAAATTGAATAAATAGATCTGTCTTTGTTTTTATTCCTGATGGCTGTTTTTTTTGCTACAGATTATCTGCTCTGGATTCCATGATTTCTGTAAATTTGAATAAATAGATTTGTCTTTGTTTTAATTGAGAGAAATAAATTATTTTTATTCCTAATTCCTGTTTTTGCTCTACAAGAAATCTGCCAATTACAGCAAAATAACATTTGATTGGATCATGCCCCCCCCCCCCCTGAAACAATGGTGACAGATAATTTGAAATCTAAAGTAGTCCCAGCTCAATCATCCTCAGTATCTCCAGTGACCCATTCCGTTCTATTCCACTATACTCTGGGTTCAGCCATGGGGGAGAAACATATTCAAATTATCTGCCCTTGATTGTAGCTTGATTCTACAAACCAATCAAAAATCAGTTTACAAACCAGTGTTAGCCTCATTGTTTACATTCACAACAATATGGCAGCTTTTTCGCTCGATTATGAGAAAGTTTGCAAGAAATTTAATATAAAAGAAGTGACATGCACACAAAAAGATGCCCTAAAACATCTTTTTAATGGGAAAGACTTTTTTTATGTGGAAAGTAGTTACGCTATCAAGCGTATACTGTTATTGGTCGATAAAAATATCACAATCATCCCGAGCAGATAATTTGAATATGTGTCTCCCCCACGGATTAACCCAGGGGTGGAACAGAATGAGACCAATGGAGATACTTAGAATGCAGCTCAACAGACTTTGGTGGACTATAGCAGGAGTTTAATAAATAATGTTTTGGTGGATTATAGCAGGAGTTTAATAGATAAAATTTTGGAGGACTATAGCAGGAGTTTAATAGATAATCTTTTGATGGAGTATAGCAGGAGTTTAACAGGTGATGTTTTGGAGGAGTATAGCAGGAGTATAAAAGGTAATGTTTTGGTGGAGTATAGCAGGTGTTAAATAGGTAATGTTTTGGTGGAGTATAGCAGGAGTATAATAAATAATGTTTTGGTGGAATATAGCAGGAGTTTAATAGATAATGTTTTGGTGGACTATAGAATGAGTTTAATAGGTAATGTTTGGTGGAGTATAGCAGGTGTTTAATAGGCAATGTTTTGGTGGAGTATAGTAATAGTTTAATAGATAATGTTTTGGTTGAGTATAGCAGGTGTTTAATAGATAATGTTTTGGTGGAGTATAGCAGGAGCTTAATATGTAATGTTTTAGGGCTCACAAATAATAAATAAGATCAATTATCAATAAGACAAAAATTTAATAAATATTTGTTTCTCAATAAAATTACACTACAGAAACTTTGTCATGAATTCAGCAAAAAAAAGATTTTCAATTGACTTCAATAAGATAATGTCTACTATATTATTTACAACTAAAATTATATTGTTTAAATTAATCCAAAAATGGGTTAAGGCCCGTTTTAGCAAATGTAATTGGGCCTTTTCCATGCAATCGGCAAAACCCACACAGAAACTCTTACATGGATCATATATGGTTTGATAGACAAACCAATTTCTATAATTTCAAAATTGTGATTTTAATGAAATCAAGTGCATTATAACATTTATAACACATATAAAAAAAAACCATGTAATGTACAATTTATATTTTATAACATTATAACATTATAACATTTACCAACATATATAAAAAAAGGATGTAATGTACAATTTATTTTTTAATAAATAATATATGTTTTTATAATTAAAATTGAATGCATCTTGATTAAAATAATTTAAATGAGCTGGCAGTTTAACATATAGGCCTTTATCATACATTTATTTTCTCGTATATTAATAAGTTCTAATACTTAAAGATGCTTTATGTAATAGCTAAATCTGCCCATTGCAGGTCTTTATTGTGGATTTAAATGTTATATAAACTATTATTTAGAAATTTATTTATTGGATGATCTCAATTTTCAATCAATTGAAATATGATCGCCATTTGATAATTTAGTTGACAATCGAACCCTGATAACTTTGCTCAGAAACAAGTAGTAAACTATCCTTTAAACATTTATTAGCATGGCATGCCTATAATCTATTCTCTAGATAATCAAATTATAATTGATTATGATGCCCGCAAGATTTTAATAAATTTAACAATAAAATGAATAATCAAGATTTAGCTAACATCGCTCAGAATAAAGTAATTATTTTTAACTATTATAGTGAGAAGAATCAGCTCTTTATCTAAATCTTTAAAAGCTACAACTTAAATGAGAGAGAGAGAGAGAGAGAGAAATGGGTTTAACCTCCACAACACAAACTAGGTCATTTCGGGACTAATACATGGTTCAATTTTATTTCAATAATTCACTTGTGCATAGGGGTCTCTATCAGTGGGAGGAAACCAGAGGACCCCGAGAAAACCCACAAGGTTGGACAGGGGACCCTCGTCCTTGTCACATACAACCGGGGAATCGAAACCACGCCAGTTGACTCAATGACAGACCTTATGATACAGTGTGCACGTGCTAACTATTCGCTCCCCCCCCCCTTAAATTAAATTATAACTGAAAATACAAAGACAAAATAGACACTGAACTGAGGAGGATGAAGGTTGTATATAATAATCAAATTGAGACCCAACTAGACCCTGTTTACTTCAGCAATATATATAAATAATTAATACAAATTTTAGTTTGATTGCATTAAAGAGACATTAACGCTACGAAAGTTTTGCAGGTTGGTAAAAAAAAGTAAATTTCAGTTTGACTATAAAATCACGTCCGCAAATCCCCTCTGTCAAGCAATGACTGATTTGAACAAATTTAATTAGGAATTTCACCAATATTTTGTCAATCTGATTAAAATGCAGATCTCTTTTTCTTTTTTTTATACTTTCGATGGCCTCCACTACTTGAAGATCTGACCTACGAGCGGCTTTTGACCCTATGACGTCAGACATTTGATACAAATCAGGGTTGATCTTTCTAGTGGGATACCCCCAGTTCCGTGCTCTGCAGCCAAGAACTCGCCGTTACAGACTGTTTCATTGGCTAATCCCTCACATTAACCAGAAAGCGAGTTATATAACAACTCTTCAGATCCTAGTGTAGTTAAGACAAGTAAAACGAAATTTTGAACTATAAAAAACGAAACGAAATAGGATCTGTGTTTTAATCAGATTGATATTTTGGTGATTTTTAAGGCCTGTTTTAAAACACTCAGGACAAATACCTCAGGGTTATTATTCAAAATTATCAATAACAACTTTCTTTTTTTTTTTTGGTTAGAGTGTTAATGTCTCTTTAAGTCAATAATACAACATTGTGAACAAGTAAAACCAGTTTTAATATTCAGACAGCTTTGACTTTCTCTGGTTTTTCAGATTTGGCGTTTTCTTTATTAATCTTTTCTGTCTCGGTTTTTATTAGGGTCTTTAATTCCTTCTGTAAAATAGAAATGGGAAAATCTCAGAATAACATTTTGGGAAATGTTTGTATTGAAATAAAAGAATTGTCAATACGAACAATAACATTTATTAACAAGACAAGCCAATAATCAACTCGCTAGACCAATCGATGGGTTTGATATTGAGTAGATTAGACAAATCCTGCAATGCATTAAACCAATGGTTCTCAACCTCTTTTTGCCAACTGCACCCCTTGGAACATATGAAAAAATAGCGGCACACCTGGCTATTATGAAAAATATTTGAATTTTGCAAAATAAAAACATTTCAAGTCATAGATGGCATACAAGCGCAGACACAGACTAGTCATAGACACACAGAGTGACTCAAAGTAAATAAAGAAAAACGCAGCTATGAACTTATCAGTAGACACCAGTGAATACTCAATTGGGATCATGTGGTTTTTCGCATTTTCTTAGTGTACCGTTCAAAATTTCACGGCACACTTAGGAAGATCTTGCGGTACATATGTGTGCCCCGGCACACTGGTTGAGAATCACTGCATTAAATGCTTATACGACCGACCAGAGAGAGAGAGAGAGAAATCTATTTATTTAGTACATATACATGAAATATAACTTACCCCCCATCCTATTAAATCTATTTATACATGAAATATAACTTACCCCCCATCCTATTAAATCTATTTATACATGAAATATAACTTACCCCCCATCCTATTAAATCTATTTATACATGAAATATAACTTACCCCCCATCCTATTAAATCTGCTAATTGTTGACATCCATCATCACATGTTGCTTGTTTAAACACATCCCTAAATTACAAATAATATTAATTGATGATGTTTTGACAAGTATACTCTTATTTCGCAAACTGATTAAAACACAGATCCGATTTCGTTTCATTTTTTATAGTTCAAAATTTTGTTTTACTTGTCTTCACTACACTAGGATCGGGAAGAGTTGCTATATAACCCGCTTTCTGGTTAAGTGAGGGATTAGCCAATGAAACGGTCTGTTTCAGTGAGATCTTGACGTGCAATGCACGCAACAGTGAGTATCCTACTAGAAACATCAATGCTGATTGGTTAATCAAATGTCTGATGTCATAGGGTCAAAAGCCACTCATATGACCCCTGACACGACCTCCCACTGCAACCTGTCAGATCTTCATGTAGTGTAGGCCATCGATAGTATAAAAAAATGAAACGAAATATAGATCTGTATTTTAAACAGCTTGCTCTTATCTACAAGCACAATGATAAGACAAGAGGATACTTGTCGAAACGTTGTGCTTTTAGAATAAAACCAGTGATTGTATCCCAGCAACATTGTGTTCTGTTATTGTGTTTCCCAATCACTAAATGCCACTTAAAGATTATAATATTAATTTTATTTCTAAGTTTGTAAATTTTCCAGTTTTTCTAGTCTAAATAAAATTATGATGCCATCATAAAAAGAACAGTATGTTGAGAAAGGAAATGTTTTTGTTTAATTGGATAACAACATGACCACACAAATCCTGCAATCCTTGTGCGCTTATGAACTTGTATTAACTTTCGAGTTTAACCTATGGTTTCTGTTTCTAGCATCAAAGAAGTCATTGCGATATGACAAAAAAAACTAAATTGGAACAAAAACAGTAAATTTAATTAGACTGTCACTTTTCATCAAAAGTAAAAATAAAATGAATCTTAATCACATGATATCTACCTGTATTTCTTCTCTGAATCAAAATCAAAACTACTAGTAGGCATGAAGAAGGCAAGAAAACCCTTAAATAAAAACAAAATATGCTCAATTAATAATAAATTATATCAAATATAATAATAATAATAATATTATTACATGTGTCAAAATGAAATCACCACTTGGATACTTAAAGCGAGAATTTCATATTTTCTAAGAAAGTCAAAACATAATTATTTCTATGTCTTTTGCTCAATAGGTTGTCAACTCACTATTATACGATCATAGTTATCATTCTCACACTTAAAAATCATTGACCCCAGAAATAATAACACAATTACCACCCTTGTTTTTCTATTCCCCCCATGGAATAGCTATCTTCAAACGTTTGAATTTGAAGTTGAAAATGATATTTTTGCCAATTTCTCAACTGGCAATAGAAAATTATAGGAATAATAGGATTATTCTTTAACAAGGTAGGGCTGTTTATAGATACCATCTATTTTAAGGCTTTATTTTAATACATTTTAAAAATGTAACTTAAAAATATGAAATTATCGCTTTAATACATTTATATTTGTAAATATAATTTCAATATTCTGTGGATGTTTCTCATGAAAAAGATTTTGTTAAATTTATAAAATATTTCATAATAAGACACTTAAGCTTTATGGCGGGATACATAAAAGCCATGGGCCTGTTTCACAAAATTTTAACTAAAGACAAAATCCAAATTTTAGTAGATACTTCAATTTTGATTGGCTAAGCACTAAAATCAATCTAATATTAGCCAATCAAATTACTAAAATTTGGATTTTATCTTAGTTAAAATTTGGCGAAACAGGCCCCATGACCATCTGGACTAACCTATGATACAATTTGTACTTTAGTAATGTTCTTGCTTGTAGGGGTTAGTAGTAAGCCAGAGGACTCATAGAAAACCCATGCAAGCTTGGGAATGAAACAAGGCCACTTGACTCAATGAGTGAGAGTGAGAGAGAGAGAGAGGATTTAAGTCACTCCACACAAACTAGGTCATTTCAGGACTAACATATGGTTCAATTTTATTTCATTAATTCGCTTGCATATAGGGGTCTAACCCCCGAAATGACCTAGTTTGTGTCGAGTGGACCTTAAACCCCATCCCTCCCTCCCTCCTTCTCTCTCTCCGTTCCATTGTTTATCTTCCTCTCTCCCCCTCCCCCCTTTCCATTGTTTATCTCAAAACTAAATTCCTATTACTTACAGCAGGTGCTGGATCAGCCGCTTGTAGATTTATATACAGACGAGGACAATCTTTAGATACTCTTAAAAAAAGAGAAACAATATATATTCATTTTATAAAATTTAATTAAAAATCAATAAATATTTATTTTGTGATAAAATGTTTCAATGGCAGATAGTTAGAACTGAAGTGTAGTTATAATAAATTCTCTTCATTGGTCATATATATGTTGTTTTTAATTAATCCTAATTCATCGTCACTACGATTCATGTTTGGTTATAATAATGCATGAATTATGGGATTTGTTTCAGGAAGGGGTGTAACTCTTACTTGACTTAGCCAAATTTACTGGATAATCAATCACATAAAAAACTTCCGATTATGCATGGGCAAATGTTGACAAGAGACCGTATGTTGAGAGAGAGAGAGATGGGGATTAACGTCCACTCGACACAAACTATGTCATTTTGGGACTAACATATGGTTCAATTTAATTTCCATAATTCGCTTGCGCGTAGGGGTATTTAGCAGTTGGAGGAAACCAGAGGACCCGGAGAAAACCCACGAGGTTGGAGAGGCGACCCTCCTCCTTGTCACGTACAGCTGGGGAATCGAAACCACGCCAGTTGACTCAATGACAGACTTTATGATATAGCGCGCACGTGTTAACCATTCAGGCTTCAAACCCTTCCACCCCGTATTTTGAAGACTGGGAGGTTTAGGGTGACCGAATAAAGAGAAACCTAGTGAAAATGTCACTCAGTATATTGTCTTCCATAAAGCTGTGCCTGGTGTATTGTTTTGGGGTGTCTTTTTTTTATACAGAAGGTTTAGTTTACACATCTAAACTTAAACATACATTATGCAAGAGCTAAATCTGTCTATTGTAGGTCTTTCTTTAGGCCTGAAATGTTATCTAAATTATTAATTAGACATTAATTAACTTATCCAGGTCATAATCAACTCTCGATGGCATCGGATTTCCCTGATATTAAATAGATTAGAACAGTTCAGCCATGTCTTGATTTCAGCTAAAAATGGAGGAGCAAGACTTAGCTGCAAACAACCAGTACGGTGGTTGAAATTATTGCACACGTCTTGTCAAACCTTCAAAGGCTAATATCTTCGCTCGCAATAGAGTAATTTGAATGAAATTTTTATTATTATTAATTTTAAATTATCTATTTTTGAACTATTATAGCAAGAATGGTTAGCTCTTGATCTAAATCTTACATAATGTATGTTTAATCAAATTATATATTATCAGGTGTTCCAGAGTATGTATACACTGCCTTGTGTACAACACTAACTATATGGATCAATACTGTAAAATTAATCACTCAACAACAATATAAAAAGTTGGTTCGTCTATTTTTAATGAAAAAAAGATAAATTCTAGGTAAATAATGTTGTAGAGACCATCAAAATTATAAAATAAAATATAGAACTGTATTTTAATTAGATTTTAGTTTACCTGGATGATAGTGATTAAATTGTAGTTTAACTGGATGATAGTGATTAGATTGTAGTTTACCTGGATGATAGTGAAGTTTACCTGGATGATAGTGAAGTTTACCTAGATAATAGTGAGTTTACCTGGATGATAGTGAGGCAAATGGTTGAACTTTAAGAGATGTTCCCATTATAATCAACAAATCACAATTCTCAAAATCCTGCAAAAAACAAAATTGTTTTTAAATTTAACAAAGAATTTGTAATAATGTTATGATGTATATATGAATTGTCTATTTGTTTATATTCTTAATTAATAATCGATAGAGAGAAGATAGACATATGTACTGATACATGTAGATAAATGAACATAGATAGAAGAACAGATATACAGCTGGACAGAAAGATAGTTTAACAAAGAGAGAGAGAGAGAGAGAGAGAGAGAGAGAGTGTTTAACTCCACTCAACACAAACTGGGTCATTTTGGGACTATGGTTCAATTTTATTTCAAGAAAAATAAAGAGTTAAAATCCACTCACCGGTCCTACACAATCTGCAAATCTTTTTGGAAGAGCTTCACCAAAAAACACAATATCTGAAAAAGGCCAAGAAATTTTTACTGAGATACAATATATTTGCATCAAGAAATTTTTTTACTAGATATCTTGACTTATTTTAACAAATGTTATTGTAAGGAAAAGTATCCACTGGTAGTTTTTTGGATGGGATGAAAAAACAAGGTCGTGTAAAAAGCACCCTTGGCAGTTGGAATTCGATATAAAAAAGGCGATAGCATCGCTGTCCGGGCAAATTTTCCCGCATAGCACACTGTATGGCGTATGCCCGTCTTCATTAGCCCAGTTCGGAGCAGAACAGTAGGATGTTAAACCACATTTTATTTCATTTCTTTAAGATGATTTAAGTTCAATATTTTAAGAGGATTTGAGTTCAATATTTTAATTGTGAAATGCCAACTGATTGAACGGTAGATTTACAAAATCAAGTAAATATCAACTAGTATCAAGATTTAAAAGAAGTCACTCACCTGGTTTCACAACACCTTCACAATCTGTTTCTTCACATTGTGGTACCACATCAGAAAATATCTTTTCTACAAAATACAAAAAGGAAATATAAAAATGTGTTTTTATTGCTAGATCATGTCAATTATGCACCAGCTTGTTTGTGCTGAGGTAATAAGAATGAGCATACTATATTGACCTGGATGGAACCGAACATGACGACATTGCCACTATTTTGACATTTTTTTCAAAAATGGAAGCCTGTCATTGATGCGCAAATGTCCATTATGATTAAAATACAGATCTATATATTTCATTCTTTCATTCCAGAGGCCACCGGGTGGTTTCTGAAGTGGGGGGTCTGATACGAAGCGTCGCTCTCTACACCATCATTCTTACACTGAAATCATCATTTTTTAAAGATAAATCTGAAAATATAAACTAACCTTTCATCCATTCTAATGTATATTGTTTTTTACATGTTAAACAATGTGAAGTATGAAACGTTCCATGAGCTTCAACAACTTTATCATCGGGTAAACCTGATATTCTCTCTAATGTATCAATATTCTGAAACAAGAGAAAAACTTGGACATGTTTACCCAGACACAAATGTATAGTACAGGCCCGTAGCTAGCCCAAAAATGGGGGGGGGGCAAGGGCTTCTGGTGGCGCAGATGTGGCTTCTGGGGATGCCGATGTACCTATACTTGACGGGGCTCCCCACCCCCCCCAAGAAAATTTTGGAACTATGAAAATGACGGAAAATTTCAATTTTGAGGCTGAATTTGCATATTTTCGTATTATGATATTTTGGTATGAACATCATAAAAATTTGAAGGAAGGAATACAAATTAATACGTGAGCGCCTAACCCATCACACACAAGATTATGGGCACCCCACCAATTATATTATGGGTGCCCATGATATTGGCATTATTGGCGCCCACCAATCAGGCCGTTTTGGGCACCCGATTGATCAAGTCGTGGACAACAAACCAAACCAATAAAGCGCCCCACCAATCATGTCATTATAGGCGCCCCATCGGGATTAGGCACCCCACAGATCACGCCTCACTATTTGGGGGGGGGGGGGCGAATCATATATAACGATACTAATCTGTGTATAATGTCACAATAATTAACCTTTATTTATACAACCTGTGTATGATGTCTCTATAATAAACCTTTATTTATACTAACCTGTGTATAATGTCTTAATAATAAACCTTTATCATGTAACATACGGATAAAATAGTGGCAAGGTGTTGGCTGGAAATACAAAACACAAATTACAATAAAATATGAGTTTAAAGATAGGTTGCCAGGCTATGGAGGGTGTTCATAAGAAATTGTGAAGGAGAGACAAATGACCTTTTCAATGTGGGAGTAATAAAATAATAAAGATGACTTAACACTTCTTACTTCATACTTTTCTAAAAAAAAAATATTGAGTATTTCATTATGTCACTCTAAAAGATTTGGTTGGGGTGTTCAATCATATTCCATTAAAAGCTCCCTTCACCCACCCTCTAAAAAACTAACAGACATTAATGAAAGCAAGAAGAAAATATGTATTGAACCACAATATTCCAATATCAGAAACATGTGTTTTATTTAAAATAATGGTTGAAACAAAAGCAGGATAATACAAAAGCAGCAGAATAAAATATTTAAAACTATAATTACCGTTAATGTACCTGGAAATAACTCTTTGGCTAATACAAAGAAAGGCTTGGGATTTTCCTGAAAACATTGAAAACAAAGTTGAAGGAAGATAATCTTATTGGTTTCATTTCACAAAGTACATACATTTATACAAACGATTATTATTATTTGATTTATATAGCACTTCATTACACATGGGGGGGGGGGGATGGTTGAATAGTTATAAGGTCTGTCTTTGAGTCAACTAACGTGGTTTCGATTCCCCGGTTGTATGCCACAAGGAGTAGGGGCGTCTGTCTAACCTCGTGGGTTTTCTCCAGGTCCTCCGGTTTCCTCCCACTGCTAAAGACCCCTACGCTCATGTTAGTCCCGAAATGAGTGTTTCTAAGCGCATGATTTTCATTGTAACATACATTTTGGTTCCATTTCATCCATATTGTTGCATGAACAGATGAGTTTTCAGTCTGGTTTTGAAAATGCAGACTGTATGTTTGGTATTGTCTATTTCGCCAACTACAGTCTAGGTCACCAACACTATCAGGTATTTGGTGATCCTGGGGGTAACTCTTATGAGTGTGGCATTCTTCATCATTATACCTAGCAAATCATAGACAGAGTGCTAGGTGGATTTTACCTACGGTACTAACTTATTTTTAACGGGAAAATAGAAATTGATAAATAATAATATAGAAGAAATAAATTAAGGATCTTATTTCTTGTTGATTGAAGCATTAATTAGAGCCTCAACTGGCATGGTTTTGATTCCTTGGTTCTACGTGACAAGGAGTAGGGTTGCCCCGTCCAACCTTGTGGGTTTTCTCTGGGTTCCCCGGTTTCCTCCCACTGCTAAAGACCCCAAGCGCAAGTGGATCATTGAAATAAAATTGAACCATATGTTAGTCCTGAAATGACTTAGTTTGTGTCAAGTGGACGTTAAACCCCATTTCTCTCTCTCTCCCTGAATTAAGGTAGAGAAATAAAACCATAATGAGAATTATAACACCTGACTCGTGTACTCCCTCTTGACTCATGTAATCCCTCTTGACTCATGTACTCCCTCCTGACTCAGGTACTCCCTCCTGACTCATGTACACCCTCCTGACTCATGTACACTCTCCTGACTCAGGTACTCCCTCCTGACTCATGTAATCCCTCCTGACTCATGTACTCCCTCCTGACTCATGTACTCCCTCCTGACTCATGTACACCCTCCTGACTCATGTACACCCTCCTGACTCATGTACACCCTCCTGACTCAGGTACTCCCTCCTGACTCATGTAATCCCTCCTGACTCATGTACTCCCTCCTGACTCATGTACACCCTCCTGACTCATGTACACCCTCCTGACTCAGGTACTCCCTCCTGACTCATGTAATCCCTCCTGACTCATGTAATCCCTCCTGACTCATGTACTCCCTCCTGACTCATGTACATCCTCCTGACTCATGTACACCCTCCTGACTCAGGTACTCCCTCCTGACTCATGTACTCACTCCCGTCTACATATAGATACCAGCCCAAAAATATCGGAGCCCGACTTACATGAAAATAATCTATAGTAAAAATGGCTTCTGGACACGGTAAATTATACTTCTGTAGGTTGTCATATAAACCACTTCCTTCACTACGGAAATCAGGAATACCTGCCGCTAAAATTATGAAAAAACAAATCAGAATTAACAAAATGAAATGAAATGGGGTTTAACATTCTACTGTTCTGCTCCGACTGGGCTAATGAAGACGGGCATACGACATGCAGGGTGCTATGAGAGAAATTTTGCCCAGGCAGGGGCACTATGGCCTACTCTCATATCAAATTTCAACTGCCAAGGGATTTTTACATGCCAATGTATACACGGGACCTCAGTTTTTCGTCCCATCAGGACGACCATACAACTGTCCTTGTCAAGCGCTCCGTCCTGCATCACTGACAAGGGGAAACCACGTCGGAAAATCCTGATGAACTTTCTCGGCCAATGCAGGGCTCGAACACGCGACCTATAGAGTAGCGAGCCAGCGTCTTACTCACTTAGCCACTGTGAGGAATGACACCTCTTGTGATCTATACCATTGGACCACTTATTTCGCGTAAGAATTACAAACCAACTTACATGTAGAGATACCAGCACCAGCCATTGTGATGATGTTTTTACATTTATTATCTTTAATATATCTGGCCACGCCTTCTACACTCACTTCATCTAAAACTTGTTTCCCTGATTCATCAACATCATCTGATAGATGCAACCTCTCTCTCATAAAATTACCCAAAAAACTTGGATCCAGAAATTCTGTATCAAAAATGAAAAGCCTTAAATATTAAAGGAAAACATCAGTGATTGCAACTTTTTCATTTCTATTCAGTTTCTGAAATTAATTAGTTTCAACACTTGAAGTAATGACAGTTTTGCGTTTAAAGAAGAAATTATCAAGTCAGACATGATGAAGATACAAATTAAGTGGCCTTTTAAAATATGAAATTAATGTTAAAGGGTCATAACTTTTTTATTACTTACGAATTTGAATATTTTATTCTCACATGATTTTTAATTGTGGTCTGAAACCGCCTGCTTAAATAATGATAAGAGTTATGCCCCTTTATTTTCGGTAAAAATGTCCGACAAGAAAAATTTTGAAATCCCATCACTGGTCATAAGTAATGGAAAATTTAGAGCAAGTGTACCTGTTTATCCATATTTATCGTGGTAATCATACATTAGCCTATTCAGAATACCACATTCTACAAGAATTATTTTTGTTGGGGTCTGGTTATATTAAAGGGAATTGGGAGCTAAATTACCCTATTTCTTATCAGGACCTCTTTTGACTCAATACTTGCCAGTTCGTTTCGAAATGGATTAAGAACCCATCTTTACCATGATACTAATAAAAAATTTCTTATGTAAATTGGTGAAGAATTGAACTCTTTGAAGTGAGTATGAGTACAGTTATGTACCGGTACATATTAATGTTCAGGGGAGATAACCCAGGAACTATTGTTGTAAAAATTCTCAAATTCCATAAAATTACAATCATGATTGTAGCCCTGGAATTCTAACGTAATCAAAGGCCAAAACTCTTAGAGTTAGCAATGAAAATTGTTAAAAATCCTAATCGTGGTCTACAGAAAGAGAGAAATGATGTTTAACATCCACTCGACACAAACTAGGTCATTTCGGACTAACATAATTTTATTTTATTTCAATAATTTGACTGCACGTAAGGATCTTTAGCAGCGGGAGGGATCACAAGGTAGGACAGGCAACTGACCCTACCACTTGACCCAATGACAGACCTCAAACTCGTGAAACAATTTGGCCACCCAACCCCTCTTGGGAATTTACCAAAATCTCACATTTAGAAAAACAATTCTGACCTACCATTTAAACCATCTAACACCTTCTGGGCATTCACACCAACATTCTAAAGTATAAATAAATAAATTACATTAAACATTTTTTTTCAACATGGGGTTTAACTCCCCTCTACACAAACTAGGTCATAAACAGAGAGAGAGAGAGAGAGAGAGAGAGAGAGAGCGAGGTCCACTCAACACAAACTAGGTCATTCTGGGACTAACATGTGGTTTAATTTTATTTAAATGATTGGCTTGCCAGTATGGCTCTTTAGCAGTGGGAGGAAACCGAAGGACCGAGAGAAAACCCTTGAGGTTGGACAGGCGGTCTTACTCCTTATCACGTACAACCAGTGAATCGAAACCATGCCACTCCTTGTCACGTGCAAGTGGGGAGTCGAAACCACGCCATGTGACTCAATGACAGACCTTATGATCTAACGCACACGCGTTAAAACCATTCAAACAATCTACCTCCCCAAATTACATTAAAACTTTCATCTGGCTCTGACAGTTGCTCTGTGATTCAATCTCCAGCAGCGATGGCTCAGTGAGTAAGGCGTTGGCTCACGTACCAGGAAGTCCAGGGTTTGATTCCGGTGTTGGCTGAGAAACTTCCCCTGGATTTTCTAGCGTGGTTTCCCTTTGTCAGTGGTGAAGGACAGGGAGCCATAAACAAGGGCAGCGTCTAGTCGTTCGTGTGGTAAAAGCTGAAGTCTCAAGAAAACATTGACATACACGTAATTCGAAATAAAGAGTAGGCCGTAGTACCACTGCCCAGGCATAATTTTCCCGATAGCACACTGCATGGCGTACGCTTGTCTTCATTAGCCCCTAATACATTCAACTATAGTATAACATACCTCACTATCGGACTTCGGTTGAGTCTTAGGATCTGTCTCCTCCTTTTCAGCCATTTTGCTTGTGTTACAAATAGATCCAAACCTTCTATTGATCAAATCTCTTCAGCAGACGGCTGTAATTCAAAGAACATAAAATTGTTAAAGAATTATCAGATCCCTGACTTTGGAAACCGCTCCGCGGCCTCTAGAGAGAGAGAGAAAGATTTAACATCCACTCCACACAAACTAGGGAATTTTTGGACCAACACATGGTTTAATTTTATTTCAATAATTCGTTTGTGCGTAGGGGTCTTTAGCAGTAGGAGGAAACCGGATGACCTGGAGAAAACCCATAAGATTGGTCAGGCGACCCTACTCCTTGTCACGCACAACCATGGAATCGAAAACCACGCCAGCTGCTCAATGACAGGCCGTATCATACAGCGCGCACGTGCTAACCATTCGGCCATCCAGCCCCTCATATCTTTATAAAACCTGTGTAACAAGGGTTTGTGTTTACCTCGGAGCATCACAGTGATGCAGCATAATACCTACACAACATTTACATCAGATGTCACAACCATAAACAATTGATACCCAATTTCATGTGGCACTTGCACATTGTACAAAAACAATCCTTGCATTTCTATGTTCAACTGGATGATGGCGCGTTGAATTACCCAATAACTCCGATTTTGGCACAAAGCAGACACTTTTTCAATTAAATTGTTATTTTGTGGTTCCAAAATCTAAATTTTGCAGTTCTTTGGTGTTATTTTGGAGTTATTGGGTGTTATTTTGGAGTTTTTGGGTGTTATTTTGGAGTTATTGTGTGTTATTGGCCGTATAGCCTAGTTATTGTGGGTTATTATTGGGTTATTCAACACGCCTCCTAAGCTGCCCCTGGATCACGTCCAACGACATGTCATAGGCCATTTGTAATATTTCTACATATTTGAAATAACATCTGCCTTTATATCTATTATTAGTAGATTTCAATTTTTCTGAAGTAGGTAGGAGTGTTTCATTCAATAATAAAAATAGGAAACCCAAGATCTATTGAACTAATTTTATAATGTCATTAGTTATTAATATGATAAATATGAATAAATTTTACACCAGTAGTAAGCAAAACATTCTCACCAAGTCAATTTGAATGACAGGACAGATGAAACAATATACTTCTCGGTTCTTCTGGAGTCTTGCACCACAAATACTTACCCCAAAACATAAACAGAACGACAATTACCAGAAACTAGTTAACCAAGTCAATTTAACTTAAATGGAGTTGTCTACCTTTAACAATAATGCTCAACATAGGCAACACAGTGATCACTCTGTGCAGTGATCATCAGTGAATATTCGCGAGGCCGCTACAATATTAGAACTTTCGTAATCCTTGCATAGGCAACTGGGGATCAAAGAGTTAGAAACAATGGTCAATATTCCAAATGATCATTTCTTACATAAAAATACATTATACATACCTACTCCTTATTCATACCTCGACTGGCTCGAGAATACATTTTCTCAGGCGGAGCTAACTGTAGACAGGCAGCCGAAGTTTGGGATGATTTGTAGCCAGACCAAAGGTACCAGCACCGCCCCCACCCCACCCTCCCCAATTAATTATTATAATAACTATAATAATCATGCGTGGGGTATATATGTTGCATTCAAATAATTCTATTGTAATTCTATTAGTCTAATTAAATATGGGTTATATTAAATCAATATTCTGTGACTAATTAACCATTTCCTTAATAATATGTTTGGTTTTAAGAAATCGGAGATTGGACAGATTTCCTCCAGGAGTTGTTACCCTTTGGTCTTCAAATAAAAATAAAATCCACTTTTACATTTTTAAGGTCTGGGTTTTATTGGCACTTTATATAAGCAGTGATTTGTGTATTGATGTAACCTGAGTAGGGTTTTCATAACCATAAATTTCCGTTATTTTCTGGCCCTATATCTAACTTTGCCCATGATTCGAGATCGATCCCCTTTATCACCATTTTCTTGTTATTTTGTTCACAATATTTACATAATGTAGATTATTTTTTTGTCTTATTTGTCAATATTTGTTTAATGTGTTTGGTGTGCCGTGCCTTTAATCCTTTGTCTTTATATATATCGATGGCTTAGAGCACAACTGTACTATGTCCATTTTTGGTGAAAATAAGATTTTTAGATATTAAAAATCCTTATTCCAGGGCGCTTGTTGTGTAAAAAGATACAAGTCCCCTGACAATTTAAAGCTGTCGAAAAGGCACAATAACCATAAGTGTTATGTACTACCCACATATTTCTTTAGAGCACACATAGTCCATGTCCGGACATAAGTCTTTTGTGCATTTATTCTGGCAAAAAAGTGCGGACATAAGTCATTTGTACATCAATTTGAACAAAAAAGTACGGACATAAGTCATTTGTTGTGCACTACCCACATATTTCTTTAGAACACACATAGTCCATGTCCGGACATAAGTCTTTTGTGCAATTATTCTGACAAAAAAGTACGGACATAAGTCATTGTGGATCACATTTATCCAAAAATCAGCTGTATGCTGTGCTTAAGTTGAAGTGCGTCTCTATCAGCCTATTTGAATTGATTCAAGCAATAATCTTTCCTGAAACCATATACATCCACTGATAACTTACTTTTTTATAGCTTATTGAAATCTTAAAATACGTTTTTTTCTCAAACCTTAAAAATGGACATAGTACAGGTGTGTTCCAAGCCATCGATATATGAGCATTCATAGTAGTAAAAGATGGATATCGGCAGGCATCGACGGAATATCTCTGAGTCATGTTTTGTGTTCTATTACCGCAAATTAGTATTCCGAACGCGTGCCGATCATTATTTTTGATGTGCCTATGATTTGCCGAATTTTATTCATGTTTTAATGGTTTCCTTTCACATTTTATGTAAATCTAAAGGACATATATAACTATTTTTATTAATTATTGTTCAAATGCAGTTTTCCTTAAATATTAATTACCCCCTTTAATATGCTTGTAGGTGTTTTTCAAAATATGGAAAATGTATAATAACAATTTTGTAATAGGTTTTCGTTGTTGAGGCGAGGGTTCTTTTATGATTTTAAAATGTTTCCCCAAGTCAGCATGAGCTTACCAGTCCTTTGTCATTTAAAGATAGTTAATATAATTTGCCTGTGTGTGCCGTCCGTTGATAAAGGAGCTTTATTCTTGAACTGTAAATTTTCTTTTATTAGTTAAATGTTTGAATATTGTTAGCGACGCCCACAAAGCGTCCCGAACCTGTTATATCTGATTATCCGGTGCTGTTCGGCTATCCCAACAACCAAATTATAATATTTTGATATTTAATATATACTGAGCGCCATGGGAAACGCATCACTTTTTTCCCCAAATATTTTATTACTAGGTGGTTTTGTATGTATAATATTATGCAATACTATGAACTATTGTTTCACACAATGCTCCCAAACGCAAAAAATATCGGCCCGTGCACCAAAAAAAAATTGCACGAGATGAACATGAAAACCCCAATATTCACGTGCAGCATTGTGTGTGAGCCCTTTTAAACTTAATGTGCAGTACATGAACTGTGAAACGTCAATCTGTCGTAATTTGTTGTCGGACGTGTGAAGGAATCGAGCTAGAGATGCCGAGACTTACTGAAAATCAACGGAATGAAGCCATGGGAATGTCCAGGGCTGGCATGTCTACACGTGCTATTGCCAGACACTTCAATTGTCATCAGTCCACTATTGTAAGGTTGGTGGAACGTGTTCGAGTTACTGGATCAACACGGGACCGTCAACGTCCTGGTCCACAACGCGTTACAACCCAGGCTCAAAACCCCTACATCCGGGTCACTCATCTGCGTGACAGATTCCGCCCAGCGACTCGAACAGGTGCAGCAGTCGTGGGAAGACAAGGACCAGTAAGTGCCAACACCGTAAGACGTCGTCTAAGAGAAGTAGGACTCCGTGCACGACGACCTTATGTTGGAGCTATCCTCAGGGATCATCACCGTCAGCGGCGTTTAATATGGGCTCAAGGACACCAGACATGGAGAAGAGTAGACTGGCAAAGTGTGCTCTTCAGTGATGAGAGTCGCTTTCATCTTTATCACGCTGATGGCCGTCAACGTGTGTGGAGACATCTTGGGAAACGTCTTGCTGACTGCTGCGTCTTCGAAACGAATCGATGGGGGTGGGGGAAGTGTAATGGTGTGGGGAGGCTTCACATTTCATCACCGGACCGCCCTACACATTTGCAGGGGTCGCGTTAATGCTGTAGCCTACCGTGATGATGGCCCATGGAGGACACACGCGCTACTGACATCTGTGTCGTACTTTTGGTTTTGACCCCTCTGATTTTGTACCCTTGATTACAGATTAAACATCCATACGTGTACAAATGTGTTGTTATTAATGTGTTCACATTTGAATATTGTTCACAATAAGAAGCAAAATAAATAAGATATGTTTACAGGATCATTTTGTTATACGAAAAACTAAGTGATGCGTTTTCCATGGCGCTCAGTATATAAATAAAGCTGTTTTGGTGATATATTAGTGTGTATTTATTTGGAGGCTATTCTGCCTAGTGAGCGGGTAACATTGAAAGGTTTCGATTTCTACATAAAACACGAAATAGGTTTCTCTCCCAATGGTAGCTTATAGTAGGCTAGATATTTAGAAATAAAATGAAATAAAATGGGGTTTAACGTCCTACTGTTCTACTCTGATGAAAACGGGCATGCGCCATCCAAGTGCTATGAGGGAAATTTTGCCCGGACAGCGGCACTACGGCTTACTCTTTTATCGAATTCCAACTGTCAAGGGATCTTTTACGTACACGCCACGTGTACACGGGACCTCGATTTTTCGTCCCATCCAATCGACTAGACAGCTGTCCTTCTCAGTCTCTCCGTCCTGCATCACTGACAAGGGGGAATCACGCACGCAGGGGCGTACATAACAATTTTGTTTGGGGGGGTGTTTAGCCAAAATGCGACCGACTGATGCCCATACCCCTAGTACGAGTGAAGCAGTCAGGAACCGAGCACCATAGGTGCGAGTTTTGTAGGGGTCATGCGCAGTAGCAGATCTAGATGGGGTGGGGGTGGGGGCCAAATCTAGGGCGCCACCCCAGCCACAATCCCACCCCACAATGAATGTCAACAAAATACTGGCAATAACATTAAGCGTTCCGGTAGAGCATAGATGTTATTGTATAATTATATAGTTGTTTGACGATCGTTGTTTCGCTGGAAAGCAGTTTTATTTAAGTTGACATAAAGTTTATGTCATATATGATTGTGCCTATAACACTGAGCAACCTGAGAAAATTTTGAAAAATTGAGTCAATATCTTGGCATTTGAGGTCATTGCTGGGAGAAATTCTTGTGGACGAGAGGACCAGAAATGTGAGTCAATTGGACAAAATCTCGAGATCTGCCCCTGTCAATTCCGCCTGTTTTGCAAGTGTTGACAGAACTTTTGTATAGTCTGACGCCCCACGACCCACACACCAGTGCCAATGGTACTACTAACATAACTAGGCAGTTCAGTATAACCGTGAATATGATAGTGCTGAGACAGTATAAGACGACAGAGGAGTGGAAGAATGATGTTATAATGGAATCGAGCGCCGCAGGCGCGAAAAATTTTTAGATGTGTAACCGAGCTTTTAATTTTTGGGACTGGGCCTGACAATTTTAGTCAATGTCATGGCAAATGGATCCAAATTGTCGTTAACGAGAGGATAAGAAATTGGACAGAATCTTGAGGCCTATCTGTCAATGTCGCCTGTTTTGTGAGAGTAGAACTAACAATTCTACAGTCTTTTGACCCACGACTCACTCACTAGTGGTACTACTAACTGGGCGATTCACTGTAACTGTGAATATTATAGTGATGAGATAGTGTAAGACAGAGAAGGAGTTGAAGAATGATGGCATAATGGAATTGAGCGCCGATATGTAACTGAGCTTTTAATTTTTGAGGACTGGGCCTGAGGGCACTTTACCTCAATTGGGCGCTTACTTGGTCTCTGAAATGCCCTGGACTTTGGGGAGAGATTTTGCAGAATTCTGATGATCAGAAAACACCCCATTAATTCATTTAGTCTGAGACCGACTGCGGTGAGCACTTTTTTTTTTGAGACCGACTATTTTTTTGCCATGGGGTGAAAAACATTTTTTTCAAACATGATAAGACGACATGGTTATTTTATACTAAAGTTTTGCGTGAGTAGAGTG